CAGTTGCCTGCATAATTTATGAGGAAATCGTTTCATTAATTCAGTAAATTCTGCAAACAAGGCACTTTCAAAAAAGAAAGTAGTATGCGGGTAGACAAATTTTGTGAACTTTAAACTTTATATTTAATTATCGTTGAAATTTACATGAAATAATGGCATAAATTAAAGAATATATAATAAAATCCCCCGTACAGCCTTATGCTGTTTAGTAATATAATTAATCATACAGAAACTCAACATCTGTGCTTTGCAGGTGTAGGAATTACAGTGGATTACTTCGCCCGCCTACAGTTTTTCTGAGTCATTGCTCTGCAAGGCTTAATTTGCAGGAAGGATCAGTAGCCTGAAAGTCGGAATAGTGGAGCCAGAACAGAAGTCCATTGCTAGCCAACTGCTTGTCAAACTCATGTTCCCGCTGCAACGAAAAGATGAGGAATATGATAATTGCTAGGCAACGGTTTGGTAAGCACCTTACAGCGGTAACGTTTAAACACAGAAAAACAGAAAGACTGCAAGACAAAGTGACATATTCGGTTCGCACCGAAATTATAAAAGAAACCTTGAGAGTCATAGGAGGCAAAGGCGACTAAGGAGGAAGATAAACCGTGTGGAGGTGGGGTCGAGTACCTCCACGGTGACCTTACGAGTCGTAGGAGGCGACGAAAAGGGTAGTCTCAAATCTGAGACAGTAAAAATTGTAGCGAGTCTCAAGGGACTCGGACCCGAGAAAGACTGCACTGGCGAGGGCAGCAGCACATAGAAAAATAGCCCCGTCCTCTCGTCAGAGAGAGCGCCCCACATCAGCAAACCTTCAACTGTCTGAGAGTAATAAAAATCTTGTCTTTCTGCTTTAAGAAGCTGAATATTGTGCGTTCTTTACACAACATACACGACGCTGACGTGTAAGGGTAAATACGTATTGCGCCTCAATTTGTCTGCATATTTCATGACCGAACGTGTCAACGGGTAGCAAACGATACATTTCCTATTTTCTGACTCTGTGAATCGTGAAATATTAATTTCTAAGTCGTAAGTAAAATCACTTGATTTAAGTCATGAAGTAAACATTCAACAGTTATAGGCATAGTAAAATTATGATGGTAGTTCGAAAGATATGAATAGGTGCGAAACTTGACCTCTCGAATCGAGGGTCTTTGAAAACATGGCGCTGAGAAGAATATTTAGACCTAAGAGGAGTGAAATAATATAAGAGTCTGGAATAACTTCGTAATGAAGAACTTCATAACTTATACTCCTCGAAATGTGTTTTATAGTGAGCAAGTCAAGGAGAGGAGGGATGGGCTTGGGCGTGTAGCACGCAGGGGAGAGAAGAACTGTACATACAGGATTTTGGAAGGAAATTTAAGGGAAGAATACCGCTAGGAAGATGCAATTATATGTGGAGGGTAATAGTAAAATGTATATTAGAAAAATAAAACGGGGGTTGTAGATTGGATTCATCTGGCTCAGGATAGAGACCAGTGGCGGGCTGTTGCGAGTACTATAATGATTCTTCGGGTTCCATAAAATGTTGGGACATTCTTGGGTAACTGTGCAACTGGTGGCTTCTCAAGGACTCAGTTCCACGTTGTTGCTTACTTAGCTGAAAAGCAAACAGCAAGTGTGACTGTAAAAATACGCTTTCTAGAAAGGCAAGTAGAAAGTAAGTTGACGATTAAAGTGCAGAACTCTAGGAAAGTGTGAGAAAGTGCCTTCAGCATCGTGAAGTGTGCTCTGCACCCGAGGGTCGGGCCGCTACGTTCGGTGCGCCGCGTCGAGCCTCAGTGCAAACATTGCTTCTCTTTCACATTGAACCACTACCGAGCAACACGCTCTGATTCGATTTTTGGTAAACAATATGGTCCGCACCTCGTCCTATGTGATTGTCAGGACAAAACAAAGACAAAAAACTCCGTGATTTTAGTCCGCAAGCGAACTATACCGATCGAGCGACCGCCGCTTGTCGGCGAAGTTACTGCCAACTTTTGAGGATAGAGGGTGTCGCGTTGTCAGTGCATCGAATCCCCACGGCCATTAATTTTGGTTTTCTACACCGGAGCCGCTATTTCCTTGAAATAGCTCCTTAATTATCATCACGAGGCTGAGTGGACCCCGTTCCAGATCCACTACTTCTCAGAAAATCTGGTAGCGCCGGGAATCGAACCCGGACCTCTGGCTCTGCAGCCAAGGACGTTGACCACTAGACCATAGAGGCGGTACATGTAACTATCAGAATAGATAAAAAAGCGTTAAGTGGATTTTCAAAGCTTGAAATATTCGGTGCCCATTTGGCTTCGGAAGCAGACGAAAATGTTCTCTGTCACACAACATCAAGAAGCTGGTGACCGAAGTAACAAGTGTTTTGAGAAGTAGGTGGTTTTTTATGTCGCAGGAAGGTAACATCTGTCTGTCTATTCGCCTGTCGTATATTTAACAAAAAGTTATGGGAAAAACTAATCGCCTAATTTCCTTTCATGCTACATGGACAGCATAGAAAACGACGCCTCAAAAAATATTGTGTTGCAGCGGGAACATCTTTACCAATCTTTAACCTAACAACGATAGAGGGATAAATAGACAAACCCACAGACACACGCCTCCAACAATTCTTCCGTTGTTGCCGTTGCCTAGCAACGACATGAGGGATGCACACACAGATGCACAGACTGATGAGAGGGATTTGTGAAGTGTGCCGTTGAGATGGGCTCTGGGGGAATTAGGAGGCATAGGGACAGCATGGAGATCACATAAGCCTACATTCATTTTTAGATAAGGAAAGTAGGGTAATGATTGCCTTCACTTTACGAATTACCCTACAATAGAATGGAGAACTTCTAATCTTACGTCACTTGTCGAAGGTTTAAGACGTATTTTCCAATGTTCTTATCATCTACAGAAATTATTTATCGTCAGTTTACCTGTTCTCATCTAAATTAAGAAACAATACAATATTCAGTCTTCTCTGGCTATCACTCACTCACTCATGGAGCCGAGCTCTTCTTGAGAAGCCGCCAATTCTGCACCTACTCAAGAAGTTCCCAGCATTTTGTGGATCATTATCGTGTTCACAAGAGCCCTCCACTGGTTCCTATCCTGAGCCAGATCAATCCAATCCATACCATCCCATTCTGCCTCTCTAAAATCCATTTTAATATTATTCACCCATCTACACCTTGGTCTTCCCAGTGGTTCTTTCCATCTGGCTTTCTCACCATGCATTCCTCTTCTCCCCCATTCGTGCTGCGTGCCCTGCTCATCTCATCGTCCTTGACTTGATCATTTGAATTATACTTGGAGAAGAGTACAAGTTATGAAGCTCCTCATTATGTAGTTTTCTCCAACCTCCTGTCACTTCAACCCTCTTCGGTCCAAATATTCTCCTCAGCACCCTGTTCTCAAACATCCTCAGTCCACGTTCCTCCCTTAATGTCAGAGACCAAGTTTTTTCTCTGAGCCTCGTAAAATCAATCCCTGATGATGGAGACAGAGACATTCTCCGAAACGTTGGAAACGGCTGACCTCCAGCGAAGATTTAATTGCATGCAGTCGTGAAATTTTCACATCATATATAGCAATACTGTCACGTGTTTACGGCTCCGTGGCTAATAATAACGGGGTTTGGTTTGGATTTATTAACACCTTCTTTTACAATCACTCGTAATCACAATAAATTATAGCGACATCGCTAATATACCCACTTCTCAAAACACGGTGGTTAAGGTGCCCTACAAGTCTGGGGGGGGGGTCCTGGGGGAAGGTGGGCTGAAACATCAGGAGCGTGTCAGCCGAGGTCAGGAATGGTGTGGCTATTACATCCACTCTTTCCATGTGTCTTCATGGCATAGTGCTTAACTATTGCAATTTAACTATTAACAAATTTAACAAATTAACTATTTAACAAATTAACTATTGCAATTTAACGAATTAACTATTTAATTATTGCAATTAGAAAACCACAAACTCCAACGTTAAACACAGATTGAAACCGAAATTTGTGTCTGTTGCGCCTGAACATAAATTTCAGAGAGGATATGCCAACATTAGTGGCCTCTCTGATGTTAGGATGTCGTCTATGTTCTTAGCCAAGGCAATCAGTAGTGTATACGTCACTTTTGCGGATGCCAAGATTTCAGTACCGTGTTCATAAGACCCTTCAACTCTTCCCTGTTCTGAGGCAGACGAAACCGGTCTCCAGGTTCTTCTCCTATTTCTTTAAAATCTATATAATAATTATCTTCCTATTTACACCTGAAGTCCCCAAGTGGCCTCATCCCATTATGAAGAAAGCAGTCTTCTGGGATTTGGCACCGTGTATATGTGGTGTTAACCGACGTTTCGGAGGAACGTATCGCCTCCATCTTCAGGGTAGAAGGAAAAAATACGAAATCCTGCTTTTACCGGTTCTCACGGTCTCTTCGCTTGCGGATTTCTTACTTTTTCTTTCTACCCTGAAGATGGAGGCGATACGTTCCTCCGAAACGTCGGTAAACACCACATATACACGGTGCCAAATCCCAGAAGACTGCTTTCTTCATAATGGGATGACGTGAAAGAAGCCTCAAATCTTCATCCCATTATGTTTATCTGCTAAAATTCTGTATACATTTCTCATTTTATGTCATAATAACGACAAGCTGTGCTGTGTCTGACTGCTAGTGTTGCAATTGCAAAAGCGTATTGTGAATACAGAAGGACAGTCCATCAATGTTTCTTGGGATAAATGTATTGGTCTCCAGCCACCGCCAGTGACCATTTCATGTGTATTCAATCCTTTGAAGCTTGTACTCATCTAAATAATGTTAAGAAATTCAGTTTCTGCCTCGCAGAAAACATCCATGTTCCTCCATTATAAATTCCAGCCGATTTATGCTTTTTAAGAAAACAGTCGCTTTTATTCTAAGAAACATCTTAAATAAATACATTGTTCTCTGCTGTTAAAGCAGGGGGACATGTAATGAGCACTCTATGTGAACACGTCCATTTTTCTTTGTTTCCAACAGATGGCAGGAGGGCAAGATCCGAAGTGGCAGAAAGATCCCGCAGACCAGAACTTCGATTACATGTTCAAGTTATTGATAATCGGCAACAGTAGCGTGGGCAAAACGTCATTTCTCTTCCGGTACGCAGATGACTCCTTCACGTCGGCTTTTGTATCTACCGTTGGCATTGACTTCAAGGTGAAGACAGTTTTTCGACATGACAAACGTGTCAAGCTACAGATATGGGTACGTACTGGTAAACTCTTATCGTTCTGCTAAGTAAGTTACATTAGCCGACCACTGTGAGCGCGCATGAACGGTCTTCGCGCGTTCGAAAGCTGGGATCGTGGGTTCTAATCCCACTCAAAGCATGGATGTCCGTGAGTTTATTTAGTGTTTGTGTTGTTCTATGTGTAGGCAGCGGCCTTGCGATGGGCTGATCCCCCGTCCAAGGAGACCTACCGACTGTGTGTAGGATTAAGAAACTGATCAAGCGGCCAAGGTCCAACAAAATAATTGTAGAGCCATAGGTAGGTAGGTAATTACATTAGTGAATATACTTATATTACAGAAGATTCTTTAAAAATTGACAGTAAATTGGCATAACCACCAGAATTATTATTATTATTGTGCCTTGACGTATTGGGCTTTCTCGCTTGTTTTCCATCAGAATTAATCTGCAAATCTGAGTCTTACAGACAGTTGATAGGACTTCTTTGAAGGGCGATCATCCTATGGCAAGACTTCTACTTACACAGGATATCACAGACACAGAACAAACGCGGACAGACATCCATACTTCGAGTGGGGTCCGAACCCACGATTCCAATGTATGAGCAGGCGAAAACATTTCGTGTCTCAGACCGCGCGGCCACTGTTGTCGTTCTTAATCCTATTGCTAAATTGTAGTTTATGAACTCAGATGTTCAAAAACGGCTATTATACTCTTTATGAAGTCCGCCCAGCTTACAGTAAACACAGCGTCCCAGAAAATGTTGCCACATTTTTTTTTCTTTTCGGGACGTTTCAGGTTAGATTCTATGCACATGGACCAGACATTTTTAGATCTGATTTTTATCAGAACCTTAAGGGCAATTCTGGAACAACTGCGACTTACCTCACAATTCGCTGTGCCTTTCTTAACACGTAATCCTAAATAGGGTATATCCTATTTTATAGCCTATTTTAATGTACTCTCCCATATGCTGTTTGGGACAACTGAGAAAACAGACTGAAGCATTTCATAATGGGTGGAATTGTGTATGATAGAAAGTCAATATCCGCAGTGCAAGCAGCCATAAGATTACACATGAGTCACCGACAGGCTACGAAAATTTCAGGAGAAAAAATTCTGTCCGTGTTTCCATCGTTCTGTGTGTTTCAAATCGAGAACCGCTGGACGGATTTTGATGGAATGTAGTATGTACGTTATGCCAAGATACGTATGTACAATCGAAGTAAGAATGTAGCTGGCGCACAAGCCTGCGCGGTGAGAGCGACACTAGCGCCACTACCGAAATGCGATAACCATGGCGACAATAACAAGCATGTTAACCATAAAACGAATCTTTGAGCTTTATGAATGTAACCTACATTCCAATGCGAATTCAAACATCCAAGGTGCAAAAAATCCATGAGGAAACTGGGTACTGTGGCATGGATTGCGCCTTTCCAATCTTATTGCAAGGTAAGGTTATAAACAGAAAGGAATAGTACGATGAGGGCTGTATAGGTTATCGATTTGTAAAAGATGCGATTTTTGTATAATTTTTTTACATGTCTGCATAAAAGTTACTCATTTACTGTACGCACATTCCCAACAATCAAATTTAAGACCACAATCGAAGTTATCAAATTCAACAATATTGTGAGACTGAAACAAAACACAGCATACATGATTGATTTAAGTGGGTGGGGAAGAACTATTTCATGTTCCCACCCACAGGAAGAAGGTATCGTTATCGTTCTCAAAATAACAACAAATATACGTCCCTTCCTGAAGTGAATTACAAATTAACAAATTTCCAGAACAGCTGGAGCGAATAATTGACAAGATATAATATGACTTGTAACAGGTCTAATTCGTGGCTCTTCGGAGAGCCCGGGTTCTAATCTCTGATGTCGCTACATCGTTACAGCGGTATGTCTGTCCACTTCCTTGTACAAACTGAAACTTGTTCGTCAGATGTGGGAGAACTCTGAGTCAGGGGGGTGCAGTTGGAAAAGTTAACACATGGAGAACAGATGGCCAAACCTCTCCCTCTGTTCAGTCGAGCTATGTTTTAATGTTGGCCTGGGTGCTTCTCACCTTATCGCTTGTCGACAAGGCCACTGTCGAGATTAATATAGGACGATTCGTGGACGACAATTGCAGTGGCTTTATGAACTTCGCAGTTGCAAGAACGAAAGCAGTGCGCACCCAAAGAATAAACGAAACCTGCTACACAATTTGATTCAAGTCGAATTCAGATTTTTTTTTGGCTCTACAGTACCCTTGGGCCTTGGCCTCTGTCTTTTTTTTTTTCAGTTTCATGATCATTTTACAGACGGTAGGACTCCTCGGACGAGTGATCAGCTCGTCGCAAGGCATCTACCTAAACACAGGACAGCACAAATACAGAATAAACACATACATATACCAAACATCCATGCCGCCTATAAACTTTACTAGTGTTTATTGTGTTTACGTATACTTGTATGTAGAAAAGTGGATGTTTCATACATCTTACAATAAAAGGAAAACGGGACTGCTTACACCAAACCCCACTATCATACCATCCTGCGTCAGCCTATACACACACATTTGTCGCGCATGCGTGAACCACCCCTCCTCCGTTACAAGCTACACAACCTCTTACATATCCCCGTCCGACCCTGAACCCAAGACCTCGTGCAAGGATACCGCTGAGTGAAGTGAGCATCTACAGTGAACCAAACTTATCCCTAGCGGACCCAGTCCACTGAGGCCAATCTAAGCTACAGGCGCAAATACACACGTAAACAAGAACTGTGGGCGTTGTAGGATTAGCGAGCATCGCGGAGTGATACATACAGAAACCCAGATCACTTATAGACTGACTTCTGTGCTGTAACCATGGAAACAGGCGGAAGCCACACTCAAGTTTGTCCGAGCCATTGATAAAAGAACGAGCCCCTAATGCCATTAAATAAATCCACGACTGCTTGCGAGAACTTCCTGCAAATATATTCTGAGTATCGGCTTTGTAGCCTTTCATTCACAGTTTCACTTCAGCCTCACCTACTAAACTCTTTGTATAAAATCCCTTTCCTCTCCCCTCTCTTAAGGGAATAAGATTGTCAGCAGCCATGAACAATCATTATAGTTTGATTTGTTTCATTCTGGTCCGTCACACTAATGTTATGAAAAAATTAATAGTTCCGTTCAGTGTGACTGGTTATGATTTTCTTATTTCAATTATTCATGCCTTTACATGTTTCGGTCTTCAAAGAACATCTTCAGGGGGACACATTTCACATCAGTACAATTAGAAATCACTATTACAGTACATGTTCTAAAAGTTAAAATATACACAATATAAACAATATACAATTGGCTGTAAAATCCAAAGTCTTTACAACTACAGCGACTGTTCCAATACTTTAAAATGTTTATAGTTAGTTTGTTAAGATTCTATTGGAATTCGTAAACCAAGCGGGTTCGTGTCATCAGTCTTATTGTTTCTTTTGACGGGGGCTGAATGTGTGCCCCCCTTGTCGTTCTTGTGAAGAGGGTTCTTTAATGTGGTCCTATATGTGTTTGTGGCGCGCTGCGTTGAAATGAGAAAATCAAAACCAGTCACACTGAACGGAACTATTAATTTTTTTCACAATCATTATATGTAGTATTCATATAAAGCTTCATACTTGTGTGTGTACATAGCTTGCACACATAGGCTACAAAGACACATAACTAACTGCCTGGAGCTCTGGCCCTTTGGCCCTCTTAAGAAGCCAACAGCAGCACAGCTACTCAAGAATTCCCAACATTTTATATAACCTCAAACTTTGTTGCCACGTTCACAAGAGCCCCCCACTCGTCCCTATCCCGAAACAGATCAATTCAATACATAACACTCCATTATATCTGTCCAAGATCCATTTTAATATTATCCTTGCGGGAGTCTCTGCATTCTGAATCTCAAGTTTCCGGGGACACCATCGCAACTCCTCTCTTAATTTCAGATTTTGGATATACATTGCTGACATCTATTAGAAGACAACTTTTTGTGCTATACAAATTACACGACGCAGGGCTCGATTCCAGATGAGGTCATTGGATTTTTCAATTGACCTAATCCTTCCAGCCGCACTATGGGCCAAAAGTCGACTGAGCCTCTAACAGTAATGAGTACCAGGAATCTTCCTGGGGGGTAAAGGGCGGCTGGCGCATAAGGCTCACAACCTCACCACCGTCTGTGAGCCCAATGTGGGAACCTCGACGTCTCACAATCATATGGGCCTCCACGGCCTGTTACAAGAACAGCTTTACCTTTCTTTCTCTTAGTATTACAAAAACATAAAAATTAAAATATACAAAACTATAATTTTGTTTGTGGTTCTGTATGGGTGTGAAACTTTGTCTCTTACATTAACGGAGGAACACAGACTGAGGGTGTTTGAAGAGAATATTTGGACCGAAGAGAGACGAAGTGACAGGAGGTTGGAGACAACTGCATAATGAGGAGCTTCGTAACTTGTACTCTTCTCCAAGTATAATTAGAATGATCAAGACAAGGAGAATGAGGTGGGCAGGGGATGTAGCACGTATGGGGAATGCATATAGGATATTGGTGGGAAAGCCAGAAGGAAAGAGGCTACTGGGAAGACCAAGGCGTAGGTAGGTGAGTAATATTAAAATGGATCTTAGAAAGATAGGATGTGATGGTATGGATTGGATTGATCTGGTTCAGGATATGGACCAGTAGAGGGCTCTTGTGAACATGGTAAAAAACCTTCGGTTTCCATAAAATGCTAGGAAATTCTTGAGTAGCTGCAGAATTGGCGGCTCCTCAAGAAGGGCTCAGCTCCATGAGTGAGTAAGTAAGTGTTACATGCACCACGCTTCCGTCTACAATAGCCTGCACGGTGTACTATAACGCGTCCAGCACCAGCTTCTATATTGTGCTCGTTGTGGATTGACAACTGTTTTCCAAACTCATGTTTATAAGTTCCTCTTACGAATATAAACTAGGTGCAAAGTTTCAGTCTGTTCAGTACGAATGAGAGCGGGTTCCACAGCGTTCATTCTTTGTATCAATAACAAGAAATCCAGTTTCTATAGAAATATGGATTCCTAAATAAAATAAGAATATCGTAACATTTTACGCTTCGTCTGTCTGCCAGTTTTCATACACGTATCAATAAGCATAAGTTTGTTTACTCATTTCCGTTTAAGGTTTTCTGAAAGGCGAAAGAAACGTACATTTATTCGTAAGTATCATGACCTTGCAATGAAAACTTAAAAATAGAGGCAAGGCTCTGTCACTAAATGGAAGTGAGCTGTGGGCTTCACGCTACGGCTGCTTTATTTCTGGTATGGGGGACAGAAGTTTTAGCTCCACCATTCTTGACCTCGGTACTAGATGGAGGAGAGTAGTAAGCTTTAGCCCCCCCTGTCGCTTTATCCCAGGGCATAGAGCCCCCGGCGCCCATTGCAGAGGAGGCTGCGCGGGCCCCTGAGCCAGTGTGGACGCTACGGAGAAGAGAAAATTGATCCACGTCTGTTCTGATCGTCTGTTCCACGGCCTAGTCGCGATGACGACTGAGCTATCCTGACTCCTAATATCATAGTTTCGTACATTTTAATATTTTCCTCTTCAGTTAGCGGACATGTGCGTGTTAACGCGTTGTTGATGCATGTAAAATAACTGCAATCTAAAATCGCTTGTGGCGTCTGTTGCTAGCCCTAAAGTAACGTGGATTATAGAATGCTTACTTTAAAACTGGTCAGAAATGTTTGTTCCCTCGAAGTCGGTTGCTCCCATCAGGACGGGTCCGAATGCTTGTCAACAGTCGAAGTGTTTTGCTTTCCACAAATTAAGTGTTTTCCCAATCTTTGCAAATCTTTCGTGTTCACAGAACGCAAACCACGTGGTCCCATTTGAACTGCATAGTTCTTCCGTCTTCCCAGCATATAGCATATTCCAGCATATTGATGGAGACAGCAAAATCGATCGTCTACTGTTCATGTCATGGCCGACCGTGTAATTCTAACTGATTTTCTTTGGTCAATGAACAAGAAATCGGACCCAGTGTCAATTTTATACAGTAGGTCATGCTAATAGAATTTCAGCGAATATGTTACGTTAAATAATGAGAACATCGTAGAATAGAAGTTTTGTATTTTCTCAGAAACACACAAATATGTACCATTCTACGTGTTTGAACGTCACAAAGGCTTCATACAAAAATTTAAGACACCCCCCATAACAGACTATAAGTGCATTGTTAGGGCTATTCGTCAATTCAATGACAGCAAAATGTAATTTAACACACGGTTATCATTACTATTTTGTGTTTATTTGTTTTGTGGTTTATTTAGTCACGCTACCAATAGCTCAAATTATAGAGTTCCAGCCTGGGTAAAAGTTATTATCAAAATAGTGTATGGGGTTTCATCACTGAAGTTTTCAAGACAACATTCAATTGTGCCGTTCACCCAGTCTTTTCCGCACATAGGAAGGCCATTAACTTGCTAGTGAATTTGAAGAAAATGAACCAATAAGTTGAAAGTCCAAGGGTGAACATGGACCATACAATTGTATTAATTTCGAAACTAGTCTAACAAAGGTCAGGTGTCACCACAATAAACGAAAAATTTCGTGACATAACAATGGACTTGCGTGTACAAAAATGTAAAGTACGGTAAATTTATTACGGTCGACGAAATTAGTAGCTTTAACAATTCGATTTAAATTCGAATCAGAGGGTCTAATCCTTGATTAATGAAGAAGAAGAAGACTATGTCGATTATTTGAGAGTTACTGAGGAAAACTAAATCAGGCCTTCTTGTGAATCCTAAACCCGCTTATGCCATTTAACCCACTTTTTAATGATAACTTTTCCAAAGAAAAGAGTATATTTTACGAAAATTTTGCCTGCATACCTAAATTACTGGATGAAATTATTTTATAATACTCCTTGCGCAACTGAGACTACACGATGTCAGAATATAATGCCATAATCCAAATATTTAACTTCGTGAACATTTTCTAATCTAAAATGGAATAAATAAATTTCTGATTTTAGGTAATTGGTAATTTCACAACTTCAGCGACCACTCTGTTAACAGTATGCCTTCGGAGGTATTTATATAGATGCTATTTGTCACAGTTAACACAGGACATGGGTGCTGACAAGAGTCATCTGAACCCCCCCCCCTTCCCCAGATTGTCTGAAAAATCAAAATTGAAGAAGGGAATGAAATATACCTAATATGAATTGTTAAACTGACAGCATTGAAAATTTCTTACTTTTCTATCCTGAACATTCTAAGGAAACCCATAAAGATGGCCCTAAACAGCAAGGCTTGTAAACAAATCCCCCCCCCCACAACACAGAAAACTGTAGCAGAACCAATAAATATAAATGACTATTGTGAAATTCGGTTCATCAGTTCATGAGATCAACTGACTCTAGACAAGCTGGTGACTGTATTTTTCAAGCCTTGTCCATCAGCAACAAGAACTGACAGATTTTGCAGTAGTCACATGCCTTTGCGGTGCTGAGGGTATGCTTGAAACTTGTGACATCTTTCCCATGCAAGCAGGCATCCTGTTCACCAGAACAGTGCTGTATCTCCCCTCTGTCTTCTACAGGCATCTGGGGATTGTCTAAGCTGAAGAAGATGAACGATAAAACAATACTCACGCTGTCAGGATGGTGTATTGAGCTTGAAGGTAATAGAAGCCAGAAAGTTTCGGAAACTGGATCTCTTTCCATCCTCAGGTGAGAAAGAAAGACACCTACTAAGTTGGGCCCCTTTCTCACCTGAAGATGGAAACAGATCCAGTTTCCGAAACATCGTGTCCTCTATTACCTAGAATTCCGGATGATGGAAAAGGTAAAAAAAGCCAGTAATTCTGTATTATCATGTGTGTATTGCATGATCAGTAAGAAGGAAGGAAAAATTGAAGGCTGAATTAATACTGCACATATTTTAATGCTATATGGACAAGGACTGACTCCACGGGTGCTCGGTCTGCCAATGTAATGGAATAGAATAATTCTTGCCCACAGGACACTGCTGGACAAGAAAGGTACCGCACAATCACAACAGCCTACTACCGTGGTGCCATGGGGTTCATTCTTATGTATGACATTACCAATGAAGAATCCTTTAACAGTGTGCAAGACTGGTAAGTATCAACCTGACCTCATTAAAAAAGAAACAGGTTTAATTTTCTTTGCCCCAATGAAACATTTCCACCTGCTATATTTTTAATATGCAGAAAATAAATGTCTCCATGGCCTTAGGAAACACCTGAAATACCAATTAATACCCAGGAAAACCAAAACTATGATGTATAAAGTACTTATAAGATCAGTGCTATCTTATGCCTCTGAGACCTGGTCACTGTCAAGATTGGATGAAAGACTGTTAAGTATATTTCAAAGGAGGATCTTGAGATATATCTTTGGACCAGTGGAAGAAAATAGAATAGGGAGGAAGAGGTATAACCATGAGCTATACAAACTATTTAATGAACCAGACATTATTGGATTTATAAAGGTGAAAAGGCTTGAATGGGCTGGACACATAATGTGTGCCGGCGAGAATAGAACCATCAAGAAAATGCTTAATGCTAAACCAGAAGGAAATAGGAGAGTGGGAAGACGAAGGTTAAGATGGGAAAAATGTGTGTGGCAGGACATAAGAATTTTGGGTGTAAAGAACTGGAGGAATGTAGCATCGAATGGAGAAGAATGGCGAGCAATCCTGAGGAAGGCCAGGGCTCACAAAGGGCTGTCGTGCCAGTGATGCTGATGATGATGATATTTTTAATATAATTATAACCCAATAATAGTGAAATAATTGGGAAAATGTTTAAATATAATCAGCTGGACATGCATTGTTACATTATTTTTATACAGAAGTGCTTATAACACTTTTTGTTCATCAACCCATATAGAAATGATGCTAGAAGAATAAGAAGAATAGAGAAGACGTTTACTTTCTCAGACATTTAGTAAGCACAGTGATATTAAAGTCTGTTAGTTCTGTTTCATGCTGTATGCAAACATTTTACCAATAAAAGTAGTGTATGATATTATTCGTTGTATGGATATCAGTCCTATGTCATGAACCATCTTAACAACAGACTAGTATCAGCTATGACAATTCCAGTGCAGGTACTACATTACAACATTATCTGTACAAGACACTTAAGAGAACTTACCTAAGAAATGTTCTTTGTCAAACATACTGAATCATATTAATATCCAAATTAATTTTCTTGTCTTCTTTAAATACAAATTTTACTTCATATTAGAGCATACAGAGTGCTCCAGGAGGAAAAGTCAATATTCTGGCAGGGCATAGTGTCGGTTGTACTAAGCAAAAGAAATGTGTACATGAATGTGTCCTTTCTGAATGGTTTCCGAGATAGAGTTATTTCACTGTACACTGTACAGGCGAGCAACACGCCATGTCTTCACAAAGTGCACTGATGTTGATGGTGAAATTTTCAGAAATGCATTATACTTTGTAAACTCTACCAACTTTGTCATTTGAACAATAAATACTGGTATTAGAAACAGTACATAATATCTCTTCCCTATCAACAATTTTGGAACTATACAATGAAATAGCTCTATCTCGGAAACAGTTCAGAATAGGACACACGTACATATACAATTTTTCGCTTATAATGACCAATACTGTGACCTCTCAGAATATTGACCGTTCCTCCTGGGACACCTGTATATGTTCCCCATGGCATTTAACTTTCTAGAGATCAGATTTTCTGTTAGTTGTTAGCCAACTCATATGCAACTTGCTTTTTAAAACCTTTAAAAGATTTTAAGCGTTAAATATTATGAACTTTAACAACAACTTGTAGCAAGATTTCATGCACAAGGATAAAAGTTACAATAGAAGTGAAAACTGTAAAATATGCTTATTCCAAATTAGCTTGCATCTCTTTACTCTTGTATTTAACATTAATTGGTTTCACTTTGCAGGGTGACCCAGATAAAAACATATTCATGGGACAATGCACAAGTGATCCTAGTAGGTAACAAATGTGACATGGAGGATGAACGAGTTATCAGCTATGAACGAGGAAAGCAACTTGCTGAACAGCTTGGGATTGAGTTCTTTGAGACCTCAGCCAAGGAGAATATTAATGTTAAGGTAACACGTCAGAAGAACTTTTCACTGCTTAGTCTTAGCTCAAGGGTTTTTATGCAGGAAAGGTATGTAAGATTCAAGATGGATATGAGGTTCTCATAGTGGTCATTATGAAGAGTTCTGTCTTCTGGATGTAACATCACGTTTACTTGTACAGGACTACACAGCAGTATATCCCAGAAGATAGATTTCTTTATGTAAAGAGTGCTGTGGAGTTTTATGTAGTTTTGTCATTACTCCGATGGCAACCCACTTCTCTGGAACAGTTTGTTGATCCTGAAAAGGACCGTGGTTGCCGAGATGCTTGACCGGTGAGGTAGCGTGGTGCGCGCTGGTAGGGAGAGAGGTTAGTTGCGGTGATTTGACTGGCCATAGTGCGGCCGTTGCTGGAGGTTGCTTGATCGCCGTGCGGCAGGTGAGTTGAAGTTGCGTGGTCGCACAGCACGGTCGTAGGAGTCATGAGGCAGTGGCTACACCAGATGCCCAGTGAGTCGGACAGGGACACGACCACTGGTGAGTCCAGGCGAGGTGCCCCAGTGAGTCGGGTGTGAGAGCCGGAGGGCCGAGGCAGTCATGCCTGGCGCAACCTGCCGATGACTCCGAAGACCGAGCACTGGCGACAAAGCCTGCTGGCTGAGGTTGCTTGAATGTGGCTTGATCGTAGACTGAAGTCAGACTCATGCTGCCGGTTTGCGGCTGCTCCTGCCGATGCCTCCGTAGAGCGAGCACTGGCGATGAAGCCTGCTGGTTGATGTTGCTTGAGTGTGGCTTGATCGTAGACTGAAGTCAGACTGATGCTGCTGGTTTGCGGCTGCTCCTTTTTATACACTGCTCAGTGGGCAAAGCGAAACTTGAAATTGAGGAGGAAGAATTTGCAGGGCGCTGATTGGCTAGTGCACATGATGATGTAGATGCGGGGCTAGCAGTGAGTGCAGTATAAATGCGAATGTTTGGAGCAATTGATTGGTTAGTGCGTGTGATGGTGAAAAGTGATGTGAAGAGTGTGCATTGCAGAAAATGCATGATAATGTGGGATGTTCCCACAGTACTATCTTCTTGGATATAACACCATGTAATCTGTTGAAAGTCAACTGATGTTTCAGAGGAATACATATATTGCCTTCTTTCACACTGGTATCTTGCTTGGTTTGTTCTTTGACCCTGAATATGGAGGTGATATGTGCCTCCGAAACTTCGGTTCATTTTCAGTGGATTACAACGCTTAATATCCCAGAATTTAGTACTCTTCATAAAGGCCTCTGTGAGACATTCTAGTCCTGCTTCTTTGGGTAAGATCAAATCTATGTGTAACAGAATAATTTTCAAATCATTTTAGAGTCTTAAAATAGTGCTATTTAAATCTAGTATCTTGATATAGTACACAGACAACAGAATCAAAGATTGGAAATCATGTCACCCTGAAGCCCATGTATACATGGAACTGAATGTGGCAAAAGAACTAACTGAATCCTACATATATTTTTTATAATACCTGAAACAACAATAAATATAAAGAGGTTGTAAGATAGGAACTGACATAATTTAAGTTTTCTGTTGTGCAAACAATGCTCTGCATGTAATGCAGTTATGGGGAGGCAATATTTAGAATTAATAAAAAGTAGGAAATTAAGTTAAAGTAAAGTTTATGTTTATTTATGGATGTCCATGGTTTATGCTGACCATCTTACAGTGTATACACTTTTTCACCTTATTCTTCACTTCCACACTACATGTTTCAGCACTAATGTGCCATCTTCAACTGTCTTTATGCACGTTAAACTATAGTACTGCATGCCATAATGTCTTCATTCTAAAATGACTAAAATCTGTATTCGTCATATAGGACAATGAATTCTAAATAATAAAAAAAAACTTTTCAGGATTCTTCCTACATCGCACTCAAACACGCGAATTATGCCAACCCTCTTTCATGTGAGCATTCTTCCTACATATATTTGTGTATCGTGTTCTGTGTTGTGTCTTGCTCCTGTTACTGCATGTACAGTACAATGCATGCAGTAACAGGAGCGAGACACAACGCAGAACACGATACACAAATATATGTAGGAAGAATGCTCACATAAAAGAGGACTGGCGTAATTCGCGTGTTTGAGTGCAACANGTTTTATGAAAAAGGTACTGGTATAGTGTATCAGTGCATACCACCAAAAATAAGATATGGCTGCACTTCTATTACAATGAAATCCATGTTTTACATGGTTTTGTAATTATCCAAGGCTCTAAGAATTAATTACATAGCTCTCTAATTAATTAGAGATAAACACTTCTTGCCTTTAGACTAAAAGTGGGTCATTATTCACACCACTTCATAAAAATGTACCTAGTAAAGAATTCCTTTTAATGAAATAAGTTCTCTTTTTACAGGCAGTATTTGAGCGACTAGTTGACATCATATGCGACAAAATGTCAGAAAGCCTAGACACAGACCCCAACATTATAAATTCTGGTTCTAAAGGAACTCGACTAACTGAACAGCCAGCGGGGCCTCAGAATGGTAGCTGCAACTGCTAACCACCTCCCTTAATTCATACACTCAGTAGTCACTTCATCAACCTGACAACAATGCGATGACATGTCACAACATTTGTCCAGTTTTGACTGTTACAACAATAAAATAGGCAAATGATAACAAGAGTATGAAACAAAGTCTGATACAGGCTGGGTTTTAACATATATTATTTCATAGTGGTTCACACTGCTACAAAAAATTTGTGTAAAGCTGCAAGATTGTTTATGATTGGAGCAAGAGTAAAGTTCTTACTGAGATAATGGCTAAATTCTTTGGTGGTTGTGGTACTAAAACCTTGTGCAGTCATATTTAAACAGTTCATAATTTTAATCATGTTTTTTAAAAAAGAATTAAAATGAGAAAATTGTTTGGGAAAAATGTGGGCAGTATATTGTGTTGCTCTATGAACGATTAAGGGAACGTTTATGTATATGTGTATTTATGTCTGTTACACACATACACAGATACTCCAACATTTTACCTCTAAGCAGCTTTCTCAATCTTCCATAATTTAATCTCTGTATTTGATGCTGTCAAATTAAAAGTCTCAGTTCTGTTATAATTTTATCTTTCATGTCTCTTTTTTGTTAGATATTCATCTTGGCAATGAAACCAAGATTTCAGACGTCTTGACCTAAGCCATTTATGTTTCCATGTTCATGGTATAATTTATTCATAATTCTACAGCGTTTCTAAGCAGGTTGCCACTGGTGTTGCCATATGGCAGCAAAGTGAGAAAACTTCCATTCAGCTGAGGGTTTGTGATATTTCACTGGTCGGCTGTCTCACTGTACAGCCAGGATCTACTATAATCACAGTTCTTGTTACTACTCAGACAGTAACACAGTTGTGAAATATTATTATGCCTATTAAAAGTTAGCCTGAAAGAAAGACTTGATTTTCTTTTCTGAGAATAAGAAATGATCTCTGGAATATTTGTAGAAATCTATAATACCAACTGCATCGGCTCCTATGCTTAGTTTCAAAATGGCTGGAGCCATAGTCAGTGATGCACATGACATATGAATTTACTGAAGATAGTCAATTGATAAAGGGAACCTTAAGAGGATAATCTTGAAATGAAAACTGCATGGTATAAGTTACATTCCTTGGAATTCATATTGATTTGTCATTATTCACAATATTGTAAGTAGATATAAAATTTAATGTTTTAATACTTAACAAGTAGAATTTTTTCATTGGTCAATATTTTAGTAAATACTTTTCTGTAATATGTAAAAGTGCTGTCTTATGTTACTGCAACAAGACATAGCATCCATGTTGTCTGTGAGGTAATCAGCCCACTCTGTTATAGAGTTACAACTCACGTGGGGCTCTTATTTGTTGCCTAGTCTTCTTAGCGTAAAATATTAGATAGGCTTCCTTCCACTTTGTTAGTTTGAAATTAATGTTATCTATTTTCTGCTGCCTTGCCTTATTCTAAAAGAATCTGCATATGCAGTTTATACAGCATTTTGTTCTTCAGTGTCATTTTGAAATCTAAAATGGGTTACAGTTCTAAAGGCATGAACTATCTGGTTATCAGGTACAGCCTGGTTTTCAGATCTTTGCATTGCTGTCATTGTATAAAATCTTTTGTTTTTAATTTAAAGTTCGGTTATTCAGGTTAAAAGTGACCAAAATTAATAGTTCATATGCCAAATAATATCATTATTTTCCTTTATATTTCAATTCCTATATAAATTTATCAAAACCAATTTAATGGCAGAAATTTATTTGAATATATTTGATATCCCACAATTGGATTCAGCCTCTTGTCAAAGATAAGTACAGATATCTGAAATATCAACAGTTATAACCTACAAGTAATCAGCACTCATAAATATATAAAACATAATGTGCATCTTAAAAACCTTTCTGGGTTTTGAGTATTAAAGTGAAAGAAAAATGTTATTTTTGCTGTGTTTGTTGTACTCAAAATATATTAACTGTTGAAGAAGCCATATAGACTGGAATAATAATTGTTGTGAAAGCCATGTGGTGGATTGGAATGCTATAGACTTGCTGCCCACAAATGACTCATTTGAGTTTCAATTTAGGTTACTAGGATTCACAATGGATTTATTAATATCTTGCTCGTGGGTGCTCTCCTTTGCTGTGGGATATGTACATAATGAATGAATCTATGTTACTTTGTGTATGTTACCAAACCCCAATTTAATTTGCCCCAAACGATACACGTTTATTAGGTGTTGATAATATTGGCACTTAATGGTCAGTGTTGATGAATCACAAAAGCTTCAGTAAAAAAGTGTTGCTTTCCCTTCTTACTTTGTGGACAGATAAGTCCATTGTGTGAGACTGGATATACTTATTGAGAAATGAATGAGACACTCACTTGTGGGGTGAAATGGTAGAAAATGAATAAGAATTAATCTAAGTAAACACATAGAGAACTGGAGATGGTGAGTGTCAAAGAACAGCTGCTGGTCTGCATTACTTCATTTTGTTTCACATCTATCATTTCTTCAGCAACTGGAAGAGCTCATTGTCTGTATTTCTTATTTGTTAATAGTGAATTCTCAGACCCAATTTATTGTATAAAACTTCCATTTTCCTCAATTTAAGTGTATATAAGGAGATATGTGAGAGGTGATATATAATTGTAGTGATAAAATAAATATCTGCTTAAATGTCATCATGATATAATACTTGAAACTTCCAAGAATCTGGGAAGGAGCAATGTCAATTTAGCAGACTTATAAAATATGCTGCAAATATAGGTGAACTAAACATTTTCTCCCAGAGAAGTCAGTCATTGAATAATCAATGTTCTGCATGAATGTACAATAACAAAATTATTTTTAACTGCTGTCTTCTTATGTGAGCCTTATATACATCAGATTTAACTGCAGAAGAATTTAGAAGAAATGTATGGTACTCCCTGTGCATGTATAGATAACCTGACTATTGTAATTATGTTCATAATTGTTCCAGTAAATCAAATATTTAAATGTCACACATTTTTCTACAGCACTACTGATGTAGTGCCACAGAGTAAAAGTTAATATAAATGTTGTCATTAGGGAGCCGTAAAAATGCAGTAAAACCTGGTTGCAAAGGATATAAAATCCACAACTGTAGAAGAGCACTCCTTGCAACAAAACACATTTTTAAAAATATTGTCATAAATTAATGGGATTGTTCATTTAAAAATGTGATTTTGTGCAAGGAAGGTACAAGGAAGTTTACCCATTATGAATACAGTCTCAATGTGACCTAGCTCGTTAAATCAGGGTTTTATAAAGGAGAAAATATAGCAGCACGTTTCTGGTGATTTTAAGTGCTTTAAATATTTATTAGATGTTTTATAGATTTCTGCAGTCTAACTTTCCCTGTCTCTTGTTTACAAAGGAACTATACTATCGAAATGATGGCAGTTTTCTCTTCCTTTCTATAATACTGACTTCAAAATGCCTTATGAACCCTCATCAGTATTAACACTGAACAATAACCCAAATCTGAATGTTTCAAGATATATTTCTCTATCCATGTTATTACAAGAGATTTTGAATTTAACTTCATGCCACATTTATTGTGCAATAAAAAATTTTATTCTTAAATACCAAATTCTCTTGGCCCACGTCATCATATATATAATTCCTTATGTACAGAAGCAGCAGAATGAAATGTAAGCCTACGGTGAAGTGGTTAGCTACAAGTGCTGATCAAACATTGCAGTTGACACTGAGTTTAGGCAGAGTAGAATTCACTTATCTCCTGATGTTTTGTTCACTTTTTATGCAAGAAGTTGAATTAAAAACGTTGGTGGATTCTAATATGATGATATATATGATCTTAGTCATAACTGGCTTCACAACTCCACATATTTTCGACACCTTTTGATTACAATACATTTACTTCATTATGAAACATGATATTGTGAGTCATCACAAAAAGCTTTTGTTGATGTCAGCGTTATGAATAAGACTTTGGTGTCAATGCTGAGAATCATGGTATCAAGTATGGTACAGATAAGTAAGTAAGGATACACTGCAATATCTCCATTCATACACAGTATTATGGCCTGCATTTGGTCATTATTTGAGTCAGTTTGCTATTGTGATAAAGACTGTGTTCCTCAAACATTTCACTAACACTTTTCTCAGATGTTACACACCCTACATACACAGATAAGCATTAAGTACTAATGTTTCAAACTGCCACATTATGACAAAAAACTAGATTCAATGGGTGGAACTTTTATGCAGAAGTTTAACATCATAATAAGTGAACAAACATGATAAGTAAAACATGAATATCTTAAAATGTTTTAAAATTCTTGTAAGTTTAGTTTTGAAAATGAAAAATGTAAGTCATGTTTGACTATACATAGGACCAAACATTAACTAATGAACAAAGGAAGAAAAATTAAAGTTTCTTGAAGTTTCTAATAACAAGGGTAGATTCATTCTGAGTAAAACTCCACAAGGGAAACAACATGAGACTCTGTTACATAATTTAATTCCAGTGCATCCAAATACAAGATGAATTAATTTAATTATCCTCTAAATCATTGCACTTTATCATAGTAGGTATGTCAGTGGCAATTCAATTATGTGTGTCATATCATATTAAGCATGGCAAAAATTAAATTGGAACAGTAAAACTACAGTCATCACATACATACCAGCAACATATTGTCATGGCCATCTCTTTGAATAATTTGGAGTATCAATTTGGGAATAATGTGACACAAGCCACATGAGGGAAATGTATTTATACTGAGATCAACCTTAATTTTCACAGCCCTGGATACCTCAAACTGTGTGTATGTATATATTCTGTGCAGTATGGAGTCAGAAGATCCCTGAAGGAAATTGAACATGTGGAATATTTTCTTACAATTACAGTGTGAGAATGCATACAGAAATACACAGTCTTACACATTGAGAATTTGTTACTTAATCCGATATGCATCATTTCAGTACTTGAAATGTACGATTACTATTATAAAAATACCGTGCATCATTCAAAATAACGCATTTAATTTAAGTGAAATCTTATAAAAAGGACAATATCAATCCGTATAATCGTGGGTAGTCTAGACATCATAAGACTTAGTCTCAAAGCAAAATAATTTTATTTGAAGAAAACCAGTACTAAAGAGAACATTGCTCATAGGCTTGCACACGTAAAATAATGTACTCTCTTGTTATTTTTCTAATCATAACAAGCAGAAAGTTTATCTATTCTATCTACATTACATTAGTATAATGCCACTTATTAAAATAAGCAATGAATGTAATTTTCTGTTCATTTATTTATTCAGATATCTGTAAATGTAAGTAAATGATTGTTCCACTTTAGAGTTTCTTTGTGTTATTAAATACCTACCATGTTAAAACCTTCTTCCTCGTACAAACCGAATAAAAAATAACATTTAAAAAAAACATTAAAAATAGTCTGAATCTTACAGACTGCGAGTGTCATGTGTTGATTCTTAAAAATATTTCCTTCATTGCCAACAATTAAAAAGCAGTGTATTGTTGACTGGTTGCTATTAAAAATTCATCAGAATGTACAAGAACAAACTAACTATGCTTGCGCTATGAATGTGCAAAACAGGATCTTGCCTAGGATAATTGATTTAAACCACAATATTTTTACACCGATATTCATAATTTTCTGTGATGTTTAATATTTAAGTGTGGTATTCTTACCCCATTAAACTTCTGCATGTGATCCATATCAATTTGGATCACTTCTAAATACATACCACTCACAACAAGAAATATATGTATGAAGGGATAACATGTTAATGTGTAAAAACTGTAATATGCAAGTTGTGTTTTCACTTTCAGAAACTGTCAAAACATAAGCAAACATGAACAATATGTTTTCTCCAAAGTTCATGCACTTATCCATTAGTGTCAGGTAACTAAAAAAGTAATTCTATGAATTTTTTGGAGATAGATATAAAAGAATAAATTTGCTTAAAAGCAGTATATAAGTGTCAGCAAAGTCACAGTTATAAGCATCGTGTGTTTTCGAGCAATGAATAAAGTTCACTTCTTCCAAGCATCAGAAAAATTGTAACACTGAAGAACGTTCGAACCACATAGTTTTGTGCCATCATATAATTGTATACTAGCAAATGACTATCAAGCAATATCTACATGTAGGACAGTATCTCTTCTGCGCTTTAACTTACCAAAGTTGGTAATATATGTAGCATATTATTGAATAAACCAGAGATCAAAGCGTAATTAAATGTTATGTATCATTTCTGGCATTGGTGGTTGCATTTGGAATTAAGAAATCGTCCTACATATTCTATCTTTCATTGTAAAAAGAACTATTACTGTAAAAAATCTGAATTAAGGTTTTAAATAACTGTAGTACAGGTGTGGACTCTGTTAGATGGAAAATGTATTATATATTGTAAGATGTACTTAAACATGTATACTATTATGTGAAAGATATATACTTAATATGTCAAGCATGGCAAAAACCAGTTTTCATTAAGTTTTATGTACAAAACTGCAGCATAATGTGATTCAAATTATTGTAAGCTCCTCCTGAAATTCCAAATTGTATGAAAAATGTTTGAAGACTGAAATTAATACAGAAATGAGCATTGTGCTCATATTTACAAAGCTAGACTACCAAAGTTTTTTTATTTATTTCTCCTTCAAATGTATACCAAAAGGGCCAAATAAATACACAATTGGATATTTAGAAATATGTCATGTCTACACACTGCTTTGGTTTATTAAATTTATAGCAAAAAAATAAGAAGTTTTACATTTTATACACAATTTATAATTCCATTTAAATCTGCTTACAACATGAATCACATACAGTAAACACTCATTTAACTTCCTTCATTTAAGGTTTTTCCTCATTGAACATTTAGTTTTAATCATCTAAATCCCATAATCTCAGTGCCAAAAGCCCTCCATTCAAGATTTACCTCCTACTGTTCAAATCCATTGCTCCACCAAAAACACTTTGGATAGGAGTTTTGGTGTCAAACATTGCTATTTGATTGAACATGCAGTATCAATTCTGAGCTCACCAGACATTCCTTGAGTTACTTCACACACACACACACACACAAAAAAAAAAGGGGGTTTGAAGATATACAGAATAGCTTTAGAGTGACACAAAGTGAAAATTCATTTCACTTATTTCCCTAAATACAAAATGCAGATTCAGTACCTTTGTTAAATTAGCAATATAAACATCATTAAACTATCAGAGCTTCAGCTGTTACAAAGTTTCTACTTGTTTTAATATTAACATTTTTTTAAATTCAGTACTTTCTTTCAGGAATTATTGCTTGTCACTTCAGTTTACATAAGTTGCTACAAGTTTATTACATCAATAACAAAAACACTTAGAACTGGAACTTTCGCTACATGATTGTGACAGCATTATCAACATAAAAATAAGAGATGCTTATGATACATGAAGAGACAGATGAATCACATTATGTTGAATCATGTTAATATTACCTACATTTAAAAACAGTGATCCACAGTACAGCTTTAAGAAGACATAATGGCTCTGTCCAGCCTCAATTTATAAAATCTTTATATAGATATTCATCAAAACTTGGAAACGAATACAAGTCACCCACAACATAACCATTTTTAACAGCAAAATGTAGTAATATGCTGCTAATATTTCATAGGACGTTGCATTGCTGCATAATAGTGAATATAATGGGCCTAAATCCTGTACTCTCTTTTGCATATTATTACACAAAAGGCTGGGACCATGGCATATCAGTTCAATTAAAACAAATAAACATTACAGGTGGATTATACTGTTGAAACGGTAATTTCTTATACAATGTTGGTGAGAAACAAAATGAAGGTTGCTTATTTACTGAACCAACAAGGAGGGTAGACAAAGAAAGTAATGTAAATATCTAGAAGTTCCATAACCTAACTGTGGTGAGTGATGTTAAATTTTGTGTGTGAATAAAATATGAATCATAGGAGAACAGTGTTTTTGTCAGTAAGTTTAAAGAAGTATATATTACATCCCATGTGTAGGTAAAACCAGGTCCCTCTGCAGACAATATGTGAGAAGCTCCTGGTAATAAAGAATCATGTAACAGTGAAGAAATACATGATCAGAGCATGCAAAATATATCATTGTATCTGATAATAAAAACAATATTAGGTTAAAAATATGTTTATGTCAATTGGAGAGAAGAAAGGGAAATTTTGAAACTTGAGAAATACTGAAATGAATTCTAAAAATTAATAAAGAATTGTTCTATAAATGACTGTACATTGTAAATAGCCATGATGTGTGTTTGCCTGAATACATTTGTTTCATTTATCATGGATAATTCCTGCAAACTACTCTGTTTGTATTGTTACAAATGTGTAATTAATATCCCTGTGAAGTGTTAGAAATCAGTGACTAGAAAGAATCTTTTTCTGCTGTCATTGACATAATGCAATACTTTATTTGAACTGTGAAGGTGAAAGATCAAATACTCATATTTCAAGACTTGGAATTATATACACTCTGTACAGAGTGTAATGCAGAATATTTTTCCACACATCACAGAAAAAAAAGGAGCCTGACAGAAAAACCAAAAAGCTTTGAAACGACCAGTTTTGTGTAATAGTAATATAGATATTAAATATTGTGCACACACAGTACAATGTTTCTTGAGTGGACTAGTCTGTTGTTGAAAGCATGAAAAAAGTCACTTCTATTAATGGTTTCCTTATCAAAAGGCTGCAAAAATATCTCGGCGATTCTTTGCTACTCATTACGAATAAATATTTACATGTGCATATGGCATCTCTAATATTCAATTTTGTACAATATTACAGGTAACCTCAAAGTAAAGTCTTTAAAAAATTATTTAATAAATGTGTAAAATGGGTGAGAGAGTAGATCACTTGTAATAGTATGGGCAGAGAAATAAACAGTTAAAAATATTCATTAAACTGCTCTTAGATGATGAGCAGAGAAGGTATCAGCACAGAGTTCAGTGTAGAAGACAAAAATAGTATACTGAAGATGCTGAAGTCTCAGTCTTCTGAACATATGGAAGTGGATGCATAGACAAGCAGTCAAAGACAAATACTACAGAAGTATTTACATTGGTCTCCTAGGCTATGTAGCCTGCTAGGTGATTACCAGTGTTTGGAGGAAAATTCTCCCCCCATCTCCAAGTTAAAATGTAAATTCTTACCACTGTGGACACTTAAAATCTCAATACAGAAGTAGGGAGTGTAACAGTCTTTCTAAAAGTGAATTCTTGCCATTATATATTTAATGGGAAAATAAAAATAATTAATTGTAATTGGTTATAACACACTTTATTGTGATAATTTAAAAAACAAATGTTACAAAAATATTAAATATAGTATATTTTATAATTTAAAATTGTTACACATAACACGTAAGCATGTGCACATAACAATTAATACTACTATATTACTACTCTACAACTTTTGTGTGAAACACTGTTCAATTGCTGCAAAAATACAGAACATCAAGTTTACTCTTGAGTAAATTTCCAGATATGATTAGCTTATGGCATCATGTTTTAGTCAAGATTTCTCATTTACAAGTCCATAAAAATTGAACAGAAGATTTTTAAATTGACAGACATAACATAAAATACACATAGACAAATGGACAGATATGAAGACAAGACTATAAGACAGTTTCATGGATTTGTGATATAGTCATTCCCTTAAAATAATACATAAATGTATGCAAAACTCGCCCCAATTTTGTCTGTGAAATGTGCAGATCTGCACATTCTGCAGACTGCTGTGAGGTTATACTGTGAGAGCATGAACCTACATAGTTCCACACCTGCAGTAAGTTGTAAAATGTTTCAGTACAATAACAAAAATATTGGTAAAATTTTTCATCGGCACAGATAGGTTTTCTGAAAGCACCTATATTAAATCTTAGCCAAATTGTGCATGAATACAACTGTATTTTTAATAATTCTTGAGAAACTGGTGACCCCCCCACCCTTTGACTAGTTTCAAAAACCATGTTGTAAGATGTTTATAATATTAATTAATGTAAAGAATGACAATAAAATTGGAGCCTGTAATCTCTTCTGTAGTCCTTTGGAAAATCTGCTAATAAAGCAATAATATAATACTGTTTGTGAGAGATATCATATGTATTCATGGACTGTACAAACACTTAGGCAGAAAGCCATGTAATATACAACATATTCTTTGTACAAATTGTAAAATAATATACAGTCATAACAGTTCATTTAGATTATAGGCCCAGGTTTGTGTCATATGCAGCAAATTAATTTCTGAACTAAAAAAAGGTAAAGATATCTCTGTAATGGGCCATGGAGGCCCATAGGGTTGTGAGATGTCGAGGCTCCCATATTTTCTCTAGATGATCGGCTCACAGATGGTAGTGAGGTTGTTGGCCTTATGCGCTGGCCACCCTTTACCCCCTGTAAGATTCCTGGTACCCATTCTGTCAGTGACTGAGCCAAACCCAGGGCCATAGTGCAGCTTGAATTGAAAAATCCAATAACCTCACTGGGAATCAAACCTGCGACCTTCCAGCTTGTAGCACAGTGCCTCAACAAACTACACTAACGTGTGTCCCAATTTCTGAAGATGACTTTTAAATTCAGACTTTGAAAAGTCTCTCTATAATGAAAACAATGAGGATGGAGACATCATATCTTGGCCTCGCTCAGGGCATTTACAATACTGTCCATCTCCTCAAAAACCTTATCACCACATTGTTTAACCACTGTCATAAATTACAAAAATGAGATTAATGTCAGGAAACCACTGCATAAACCAAAGTGTTTCAATATTGTCACTAAAGAGTTGAATGGGGGGATACATATAACAATGGCACAATGGTCCAGTTGGAATTTGAAAATATAAGGATAATATATGTAGCACGAATGGGGGAGAAAAGGAATGCATATAGGATATTGGTGGGAAAGCCAGAAGGAAAGAGACCACTGGGAAGACCAAGGTGTAGGTGGGTGAACAATATTAAAATGAATCTTAGAGAGATAGGATGGGATGGTACGGATTGAATTGATCTGGCTTAGGATAGGGACCAGTCAAGGGCTCTTGTGAACATGGTAATTAACCTTCAGGTTCCATAAAATGCTGGGACATTCTTGAGTATAGCTGCAGATTTGGCTTCTCAAGAAGGGCTCAGCTCCATAAGCAAGTAATATACATAACAATGTCCAAATGTAAATATACATTTCTCAGCCACTAGTACTTGTATTAACATATGAATATATAAAGGGCAATATGCATGGAAGACAAATCCAACAAATATAATACTGTGCTGTTCACATCAATTAATGAGGTTATGGATAGTATCAGCACTGTTCTTCTTCATCTGGTTCCTTTCTTCTTAGACTCAGTTCCATTCTGACTTGATGTATTCAGGTCACCTTTATAGAGATCCCTTAATAATGTTATATTTTAGCATCCTGTTGCACTGATTTATGTCCATGATTTATTCTGACCGTCTTACAGTGCATACATTTATTCACCTTACTCTTCTCTCTTGCACTACATGTTTCAGCACAAAAGTGCCATCTTCAGGTGCTTTTCGTTGTACATCAAACTACTTCATTGCATGCCCTGTTGTCTTTATACTAAAATAACTAAAATATATATTCGTCATATATATTGATAAATTGAGCAGTATAACACACGCAGTCACAGGAGCAAGACACAACACAAAGCACAATACACACAAGAAAGTAGGAGGAATACTCCGATAGAAGAAGATAGGTGTGACTCGCGTATTGAGATATGACATAAGGATGACAAATCCTGAACAGTTTTAATATTTTTAATATTTAAAATTTATCAATATATATGATCAATATATATTTTAGTTATTTTAGTATAAAGACAACAGGGCATGCAATGAAGTAGTTCGACGTACATCGAAAAGCACCTGAAGATGGCACTTTTGTGCTGAAACATGTAGTGCAAGAGAGAAGAGTAATGTGAATAAATGTATGCACTGTAAGACGGTCAGAATATATCATGGAGATCCCTTAAGCCATATCATGTTGTCATCCTCATTAGTGCTACTGATTTGGCTTCAAAATTATTGTCTGTCTTGGGTCTGAATTATCCGTGTTCATGTCATCTACCATCAATCAAATTCACTCACATATTTTTTTCTGCCATCTTATTTATATTTTGGTACTGTTCTGTAGCCTATACAGCTCATATTTCTTCTATGTTGACTGTAATATGATGAGATGTTCGATTTTATGCAGATACATATTCTAATACTGCAGGCCATTTCTAAGATATTTAAGTATGTGCCCACATCAGGGAGCATGCAGATTCCTCCCCATACACTTCCAGAGAACAAAGATAAGTGTTTTACCCTCAACCTTATACCATGAGATACAGGAAAACCGTGCACATGGCCACTTGGGTTCGATCTAGTCCACATATTCCAAATTTCTTTTTTAACGTCCTAACAATGCAACTAGTCCTGGACTAATGAGCATTTTTATTCTCACTTAAAATACTACTACTAGAACTAAACTCTGAGACCACACCCACCGGTGTGTCCCAACATCTGGTGTCCTGAGCACATTGTTGTCGCACCCGTATCACTCACTATTTACACTAACACACACTTCCACTACACTAGTTCAAAAGGCTTGAGTCTCTTGTGCCTTCTCACTGTCCTCGCGTTGTCAAGAAGCTGTATTGCTTCCATGTTGGTGTGGTGGTGAAGCCGACCTTCATGCTTCTTAGCTATCCTTTTAATTTCAGCAGTGACCATCCTAATCCCCATGGATGTCACTATTATGGGCATACCAAGGGGCATTTACTATGCCCCTCAGCACTTTGTTCTGAAATCTCTGTATTCTTTGAATGCTACTCTTACTGGCACAACCCCACAGCTGTATTCCATAAGTCCAAACCAGTTTTATGACCTGGTTGTACACTAGTATTTTGTTTTATTCCAAATGCTATCCCTTTTTGCATCAGTGACAATCTGGCTTTAGTGCAGCAAACCATAGTCACATCATGGAATTAAAAATATATTATTTCAAATAAAGCTGCATTTGTTTCATTTCTTTTTTTTAATTTTTTACTATATAGAACTTTAAAAGTGAGCCATAACATTATAAATATAAAGCATTCAAACATGAAAAAATCTCAACAAAAAGTGTGACAAAAAATTTTACAACATGATATTATTTATAACACATCTTCTTCTGATGTACAAAGTGTATCACAAGAGCAAAGTTCATCCATGGTTATTGTGCTGTCTTCAAGAGGCACTTCAGAAAGAGTTCCATCAACATTTACAGACATGAAATGCATTCAAGCTTCAAGATCAGCATGAGTTCCAAACTCCGGCACTGACACAGCCACACAATGATTGGTAGAACAGAAAAAAACGTAATATTGGGTAGCTACAGGCAAGTATTCATTCTTAAAAGTAATGCTGAAGTTGACAGAAAGCATAATTAATTTAAATCTCTTGTACATGAAGTGGAAGCTTCAGGATTTCTGAAGAACAGGATCATTCAACTGACCAATGGTATTCATACTGAAAGCAAGCAAAAAATAGAACACCTCATTGTTCATTTGTAATCGAAGACTTGTCAGCTGCAACTGAAGTAGAAAAGTAGTGGGAACACCAATCTGACAAACATCCATGGATGAGGACTCTCAAACATCATTCTACAGGTACAGTGTACATTCTTTAGCAGCACTGCAAGTGCAATCCATCATGTCCAGCTCAGTATCAATGATTGGGATACTGATCTTAATAGCTACACCCACATGGTTCATGTCTACTATACGGATATACAGTGTCATACAATGAGAGGCTGTAAATAATAAGTGGATCATAAATTAATATGGTTGCTTACTTCATTATCTTCTATGTTCTTCATGGCACTACAAGCATTATATATATGCTCGAGAACCAAATTTTCGGATTTTCGCCACTGAACCACAAAGTTGAATCATAAATAGGACATGAGAAACAGTGAAAATATGAAGGAATAATAACCAGCAATGGTGCTTATACATAACACAAAATTTCACACCACTTCACAAGAAATGTTTCTGGGAAAAAGAAGGAAGGATTAAGATAACGAAATTCTGTCACTAGTCTCTTGACAAGCCACATGGTATGGCGAGATATCATTTATATAATGTTTAGGTGGTGAGTATTGAAAAAAAGAAATTTGACTTTTTCATTATTAATTATTATAAGCCTGCAAACTAACAAATTATTATAAAGAATATATTGTAAATTAAGTTATGTACAATATTTTCTATACATTAATTTATTTTAACACAATCTCAGTTCAGTAAATCACAAACCAATCTTAGTTTCCTTCATCAGCCCAGTGGACATGTCGACTGTTATCAAAACCATTGAAGTCATCTTGCAATTTGTGTTGCATACTATTACTGTCATCATCTCTCTTCTGCTTGTATCGTTCTCGAACCACAAAATAGCAGCCAATCAGTATTATGAACTGCAGAAGGAGCCATGCAATTACAAGACCAATAATAGCGCCAAAATAAATACAGACTGAGCCTGATGTATCTGAAAAACATAACATTACACAATAATATTGTACTTCTGCATCATATTGTGTGTGAACTATTTATTGCATGTTCCATTGGCACAATTCACATTGAATAGATTTATACAGTTTTCACTCTACTGCATGAATCTACCAAATTTATACATCAATTATGTTGATAGAACATGTAATAAATAACATTATACAAATTCACCCATTCATTCTTCAGTTTGCTTGTAAATTTATTAAGTATCTTCACTATTTGTTTGCATAACCATATTTGTTATTTATTACTTCAACTGTTTAAATTAAAATGTAGGCTATTAGAGATATAATTATAATAAATTTTTTTATATTTCTATGGAACTATGAAACACACATTATTATGAAAACGACAAAAACAATCCTTACTAAAATTTGATTTTGTAATAACCATACCTATTCTATTATTTGGATCTATATGCTGGATGTTAACAGAAGAATAAATATGAGGAATGGAGATGTCAGGAATCCACTTCTTTAGAATGAATGCAGGGTTGAGAATGACAGATCATCAACTTCATAAAATATATGGGAAACACCAGATATCAATACAATAATGAAACACTATCAAACGATACGGTTACAAGATGTAAAACGAATCCTGTAAATTGAATCCTGAATTAATTTTATCAATATAAACTGAAGCACAGATGAAACCAGGTCTGTCAGTCCAAAAAAGGAAGGAACAATCTTAACCCTTGTAACAGAACAGGCTAAGTTTAAACTATGATGTTGATGACAATCCCTTATTAACATTAACGCTGTGTGAGGATGTATTGTAAGAACAAATAGGACACATTTCGTACTTTGGAAATTTCCAACCAGAAGTGTTAATTTATTAATAATGTTCTAATGACTGCACAAACTTTTTGGCATAAAATGAAGACCAAGAACGATTATTAATGATGCAACAGAAAGTACTGGCGAGGAAGAGGCACACTCTATTTTAAAATTTTTATCCAAGCATTTTCTTCAAACGATGGATTAATGTTATAAAAACCCTAGTTAAGACAAATTACCTGACCAAGATTCAAATGGTGTACTTCTGCATAAAGGTTTCTGTATGTCTAGTTCTCATACTTCAAAACCACATCCTTCTTAGTACTTACCTTCAACACCAACTAAAATCTTTCCATTTGTTTCTGATGCTGATAAAAGAGAACTTGGAATCAACTGTGGACTGTACACTTTAAGTGACATTTCCAAAGGCATTTCTTCATACAGTGTGGCACTGGTAATGGCTTCTCTTCTACGTCGACCATATGAAATAATTCCATTCCCACAATCTGTCTAAATAAACAGTCCAAATTAGACAAGAGAAACTTGAGACGAACACTTTTATAGTTCACTTTTTAGGTGTTCCTTCAAAGTAAAAAATGTTAAAAATGTGTCTCTACTTACTGAGGGGCACATTCCTGGACAGAACTGCACCATGACACTGAAGCGAACAATAAGTGAACGAGGAAATTTGAATGCTCGAAAGTTTGCAATTAGAGACTTAGAATTTGGGCCAGCCTTGGTGAAAGCTGGAAAGGTGAGAGGGTCAGGAGGGCAGCCTCTGTCATTCAGCAGAAGAATTGATTCACTTCCATCTTCATTAGTTGCCACTAAATGTCCTGCCATGATATCAAATGGACCTAAAACATGCACATAAAACAATTCAGAACTGTAGAACTGTTGGACAGTCAATACATAAACTGTAAGAATAACAGCCATGACAGCTGCAACACACTAATTGATCTTATCTTTATTTTTAGTGTTGCACCCATCAATGATATTTATAATATACTGAATGTGTTTGGTATTTGATAATTACAAAATAATATTTGGTGTAGAAGTTTTACAATTTCAGTTATTATGAAATACCTAACATAATTAGGAGCTTCATAACTTGTACTCTTCTCCAAGTATAATTAGAATGATCAAGTCAAGGAGCATGAGGTGGGCAGGGCATGTAGCACAAATGAGGGCAAAGTGGAATGCATATAGGATACTGGTGGGAAAGCCAGAAGGAAAGAGACCATTAGGAAGACCAAGATGTAGGTGGGTGGATAATATTAAAAGGGATATCAAAGAGATATGATGGCATGGTATGGATTGGATTGATCTGGCTCAGGATAGGGACCAGTGGAGGGCTCTTGTGAACATGGTAATGAACCTTCGGGTTCCATAAAATGCTGGGAAATTCTTGAGTAGTTGCACAATTGGTGGCCTCTCAAGAAGGGCTCATCTCCATGAGTGAGTGAGTGATGAGTCACTGAATAGTAATCATAGTGGAACTTAATGTATAAATCTGAAATCGAGCTTGCACATCAAATAACATAGATATTTAAGATGCAAAATGCCTGCCAGTCACTCTACAAACATCCATAACCAAGTATTTTAATACATATGCATCAAAATATATTTAGTTGTGTCCATAATTTTAATTTACATCATAATAAAAATGCTAAGTGTATCATGTAAGTGTATCTAATTCTATACTATACAGTATACGATATACAGCATCGTATACAGAAAATGTAATTACTGGTGTGCAAGCTCTCACAATATAAAAATGGTGGGAGGAAAGGAACTCAAATTTATTACCATTGTCAGGCTCTACATCAATCCTAAATTCGAGTTCTTGGCCCAGTTGTGCCTCTCTGATGTTAGCATTTCCTGTACTGCGGTCAATGATATGGATATGCACAGTTGGTACAACTGATGTTGTGTTGAGAACAACAGTACCTCCTCCTGCCTGGTTGCTGTAAAGAAGTCATTGCTTGTGTTGTAGTCACTGTCATATGCCAAGGGCATACATGTTCTGAAATACTTGAAAACAGCTCCAAAATCAGATATTTATCAAATTATTTACTACCTCTGACCAGAATGATATAACATTCCCATCATACAGAAGTTGTAAAATTCACATATATCGTCTGAGCCCTTATATTTTTAAATGAGTCTAGCAGTAATGGCAAATAAGGGCAACTTCTTCCTCAGGGAATACAGATCAAAATACTAAATCCCAGGTGTATTTCTTAAGAAATTCCCAAGTGTAATTCTAAAAATTAAAAATACACTTCAATGACACTTAATTTTCACAGCAGAAGTTAAAATAGTCCTAGTAAGCTTTCTACAGGTATCATAGAACAGACAATATTTCATATTTTGTAGGCATCTGTAAGTCTCAAGGTTAAAAGATCAAATCAAGAAAAATCTTGATCTGAATTAAAATATTGATATTAAGGTCTCAAACTTCAACAACTTTCACATAACTGCTTTTGCTTTACACTGTAGAAGCAATAAGTTGTGAGAAAGGATCTGAAACTGGTATTGACAATTTCCAGATTCAACTAGTGGTGAAAAATGGCATGGCCATAGAACTGAATTTTTCTTAAATAAAACTATTTAAGAAAAGTTTTCAATGACACAGGTCTAATGACAAAAGGGATAAGTAATATATATTAGTGAACTGTCGAAAAGAAGTTAATGTTATAAACTGTAATTACAGTGAAAAAAAAATGGTCTAAAAGAAGACTTTTTGTTTGTCTCAATTCTCAACATTTTTCCAAATCCTTGAGTTGAACTGAAAAAATAGTGCTTAGCAATTTTTGCAGTTTCATCTAAGTATCCTTCTCCTCAGGGCTCATATGTTACAGAATCTTATCAGAGCTTGCCTGAGTTTATTCTTCAAGTGTTCATTCCAATTGATTCTGTAAAGTCCTATACATTCCTGATGAAATGTGATATTCTATGATATTCTAACATTACAGAATTTCTTAATTTATTTTGTGGATAAAAATGTTATTTCCTACCCTCCATTCACATTGTTGCCACTGACCATTTTAATGGAAGTCACAGGGACTCCACTCCTTATTAGAGTAGGCATAATTCCTATATGTACGAAGAGACTAAAATTATACATCTCAGGCATAATTTAATAACCAATCTGTAAAACCTAACGGAGATGGCATAAATATGTTTCTTCAGAGTGTTTGCAAGATCAGAATCATAATAAATATATCTGATAAAAACTGGGAAAACCAGAAAATATTCGAAAAACAAAGCTAAAAATAAATTCCAAAGCTACTTTATCATTGTATAACGACAGTATAAAATGCTAGGGAACTCTGACAATATTACTGAAGAACCAGTTTTAATCTACAATCAAATTATAATGTTCATGATAATATAAGACTTCTGAGAAAGCATACATGCATAAAATTATGACACATGTATACCCACTAATATGCATGCACATAAAAAAACTAATCATTTTGTTATTCCATCCTATTGTTAAATATACCTACTTCGTGATACAATAGTATCTTGAAGTACAGGATACTATGTCAGTGGAGAGTTGAGAGTTAATTGTGTGTCCTATATTTACTTACTCTGGTCCCGTCACAACAAGGCTTGCATTTACTGTCAAATTCTGAGAAAGATTAGCATTCAATAAGCATCCGATCTTCACTGAACGGTCACCTTGTCGCTGAATAATAGGATTATGTTGTATCACAATTACTGTTGATATCAGGGTCCTGTCAACATTTAAGCAATAAAACTAAATTACTATAACTGGATAGAAAATTCTGTCACAACATTATTAATAATAAATTAATTTTAATATACCTTCAAACCATCAGTTAAAAACTCACCAGTGAATGTGTAAGGTTTCAATAAAAATGAATGTTATTAAATCACTAGAAGTGTTAACTCTAATTCAGAATCTAGTCAATTAACTACTTAGCACTATGGTCTACTGCTTGCTTGCCTCATTCTTTGACCCCAGAAGATGGAGGTAGTACGTTCCTCCAAAATATCGGTAAACTTCTATCAGACTATATGGAATCGCATCCCAGAAGACAGTTCTCTTTACATAGTATGAATTCACATCCACCAAAGAGCAGTAAAACAATATTACTCATGATCTGAAACTAGCAAAAGCTGCTTTAGATTGTTTTCTGCTATGGTTACAGAATGTCCAACAAATTCTACTGTCTATAAATAGTCCCATATACATCTGCATAGCACTGGCAGCATGTGGCTATAATAATTAATGTAATGTTATATTTAAGCCTAAAATTCCAAATGTAATATAGTGAAACTCCTGTATAAAAGATCATTTTGCCACCAATGGACTTAAACACTAAAATGAGAAAAATCTTTATCGGAGATTATTGATTTTGTATCACTGAAATTGAATGTTAAATGTGGGGGAAACCTTAAACTGAATAACATTAAATTAGTGAGATGTTATATATTCTTAGCATGTTCTGTACATGCAAGGTCTGACAATTAAATAATGAGACTATACTAACAGGCAGTACAGTATTGAATTTTATTCTGAATTGCAGTGATCTGCTTTAGAGCAGTTCCCTTCTGCAGCTATACATGAATTCCTGCCATGTTTCCAACTGTCAAAGATATTTCAGAAGTATTCACCCAAAATTGTGAGTTGGAACAGCACAGTCAGTATAGGGACTGGCTACAGGCCAGATGGCCAAGTGGTCAGATTTCAAGTCCTGTTACAGGTAAGATATTTCTAATCTCTATGTCATCCAGGCTGGGTATCAGGGGTTCTTTCTCTAGGAATAAAGTGGCCAGGGTGTGAAGCTAACCACTCACCTCCAACTAACGCTGAGGTCAAGAATTCATGTATTTATACACCCACTATCCCATACATGTTCATGGCACAGTGCTTAATTAGTCAAGCACAAGGACAACATTACCTTTTTCTCCTAAAATTTGTTTAGAATGGCCACAGAACTCATTGACAGAAAGTACTGCGTGTGACAGTGTTGTCATGGGAAAGGGCTCACTCGTTGGGGAACAGTTCTGACTCACAGGACAAACTGGCTGTCTCAGATAGTCCAGTACTTGGGGATAAAACTTCTGGTTGACAGTCTGAATAGGCAAGACAAATTCTTGGTGCACTATACAGTCAACTCTCGATTATCCGGGGGCGGCTTAACCGGTGCTANCTGACAGTCTGAATAGGCAAGACAAATTCTTGGTGCACTATACCTTCGTTGTCAAAAAAAAAAATAACAACAGTGTTTTGACTTTTGATTTTCACATCTGTGCTTTTTGGGGGTGGGCTGAGTCTGGATATTTTCCATTGCATAGTCTGCCTCTTAAACTCAAGGTCACACTGGAAAACCCAGTTTCAATCTCCAGTGATTCCTCTATTCAGCCATTCATTATCCTCCTCGACTCACTCAAAAGTCCACTGATAAAAATATTTATCCCCCATTTTCACGATGAGCTATAGAAACACTACTTCAGTTAAAGCACAACAGCTCTGTACTTGCTAGACTTGCCAAGACAAGTCTGCTGCTGTGTAAATTTCAAACCTATATCTATAGGAAGCAAAATTCACCACTGACTACAGAGTGAATTATGCTTCAGTGTTGCCAGTCTCATTATTTCATTGTCAAGCCTCGTATTTATAATTATTATCACCACTGTATGACAAGCCTATAACTGTTTATAGATCTGAAATAAAATTCAATACAATTAAATTTAATACTATGACAGGTCTTCAGTCTACAACTGTGAATTTATTTCTATCACCAACTCAAAATCAGCAACATACATTGTTTTCATGATTATAAAGTAGGTACTGTCATATAAAATTAATCAGTAAATTAAGTATACAGAGGATAATTAATTCCTTTTTACAAAATTTTAAGTGAAATGCTATTTTGATTCTGGGACAGATTTTGAGGTCACAAATTTCAGCACAAGGTCTGTGTTGGAAGTCTTAATGCTACCACAATTACTCCACCATGAACTGTAAACACCTCTGTACACATTTACTTTCATCTGTAGTGCAACTTTGTTTACAATTTCTTCTTAATTTAAAATAATAGTAACATTACAATTAAACTGCCACATGTTTCGGTCTCACTTGGCCATCCTCAGGCAACTGTTCATTTGTTGAAATTTCCACATTATATTAGTTCTTAAGTTAAAATATCACAATGTTATTGCATTTCCATCTTTCCCATTAAAATACATTTGCTTGAAAACACGATTTCTGTGTTGTTTTGTTTAGCCCAATGAATACTGGTGTTGTGTTGTTATCGTTATTTTTATGTGACCCATTAGTATGTATTAGTATTCAGATGCTCTAGTCAAGTGTATGTCACTTTATTGTTATTGTTCTTATTAAGGAGAAATTATAAATAACGTTGCATTAAAGAGAAAAGTAAGTATGTAAAATGATATGTCAACACAACAGGATGCTGAAATACAATACTGTAAACAACTCACTGATTTTCATTATGGGACTGGTTGCTACAATGGATTACTATTATACTATATGTCATAATACATCTCTGTATTAGGATGCATCTCTGACATAGAAATTATGTGGAAACCATAGTAACTGATAATCAGGAAGCTTGTATTTTTATTACATACTGATTTGTTTCACCAACTGATTTGATAATCACAATCCCACATTGGTTTGATGATTTAGTGCCAGACAAAGGTATTCTTAATGTCGTTGTGTATGCTCCATTTCCTTCACTGTCACATGACTCTGAATGCCCAACAACATATATCCGCCCCTTGAATGGTTCTACTGTCCGTAGTGTGACATTTATATATTGTTCAGAACATATAACCATCACTGAAACACAAAGTCAAACAATCTCTGAACAACAGACAATTTTCATTATATGGAAAAATACTTGGGGTTTGATTTACAGAAGAAGGAAGAGATTTTTCTCATCTCCACAACGTCCAGACCAGTTGTACAGCCCAACCAGCCTTCTATAAAATGGGTACTGGGGGATCCTTCCCCAGGGTTAATGCGACCTGGGTGTGAAGATGATCCCTCATATCCAACTAGTGCTGAGTTCAAGAAGGGTGGAACTATAACTCCACTCCCTCGTATGTCTCCATGGAGTGATGCTTAATTAATTAATTAAGCAAAGGGGTAACTTCATGTATACTACTGGTGTGACATACAGCTTTGTGGGAAAAGTGATGTCAGTCACAAGAACAGGTCTCTGGTAATATCTGCAATATGACCAATACAACTCAGCCACCCACATGCATTCTTTCTGTGTATGCATCCAGAACATGAGATATACAGAGCAGTTAATTCCTCTGTTTCTGGCATATCCCCACTTGTTTGGATAGCAAGACACTGACCAACAACAGGATTCTCCCCCATCATGGCCTAATCTAAGGTTTTAGGTTTTAGCCCAGAATTTGCCTGAAGTGACTGAAGAAAATCACAAAAAAAAAAACCGTTCATCAGAATTGCTTGCCTCTGGGACAAGATTTTAATCCAAAACCTGCTCAATATGTATAGACAGTGTCATGTAACTTCGAACAAGGCCCCACATTCCTAGTCAAACCCTGCGCTTAGCTTGTGGTGGGAGGAGTTACTTAACACTCGTTCTTCCACTTTCACCGACCCCTTTTGTTTCATGGAAACTATCCTAGTCTCTTTTCAAAGAACATATTACAATAATACAAATATATTGTCACTCGTCATGCAGAGAAAAATACGTTTAATGTGTATTACTAATTTATACTTTATAATTTATAGCTATACCATGACCTAATTTCTTACTCATTATGTATGATTTAGCGCACAAGGAAACTGACGTTTTTAAACAGATGATAGAAAAACCATAAGTATAACCTGCTTCGAGGGTGCCTTACAAACAACTGGCTGCCTGTCACTTCTCACACCCTCAAATCCACCCCTTTGTCTAAAATTTTTCTTCTGCACATTCAAGGTTACTCTTGGCCTTGTTCGAAGTTACATGACACTTGCTATAGCAGGGAAGCTAACCACTTACAATTTGGTGTGTTTCTTGTGAATTCTTCCATGAAGACAAAAACTGTATAGTAAATGTGTATTCACAAATTATAAAATTAACTTTTTTTCTTGCCTTTTCAGAAATATTATAATGACATAATTCACTCAAGTTCTGTATTATGATGTATGATACCCGGCTTCATCTGAGTGGTTATATAAATATATAGAATGTTGGTTGGTTTCCAATGGCTGCATTTGGGATCATTTCACCCATTTTGCTTCTTGCTTCCCAATAGAGGGAAGCTTTGCCAGGTTTGTTGCTCATTTTGCACTACCCAGGGGGCATGTATCACTTAAAGAAGGTCATGGACAATTTTATTCATCAGATCATATTAAACACATGTCAAATTTGTGTGGGTGTGCAACAAGTTAGAGAACAGTAAGAGGCCACATATTCCTTTATGACACATTTAATTCAGTGCAGTGTTTGAACAGTCCTACTCTGCACAAAAGTTTCATTTATTTCAGCAGAACAAGCACTAGCACACATGATAGCAGATGTAACTCAAGGTCTATGACCTGTATTTGCTGGAGGAATAATCAGAAATTAGTGATGTCAAATTCCCAAGATTTATATCTATGTGAAATTTCTCTCTGGAAAATATCAATAAAGATATTGGTAACGTGTTTCGTTACTGAAGACGCTGTTCAGATTGTGAATTGGTTTATTTAACAACCTATAAGTCGTAACTACAATTGATTATAACAATGTTATGGGTTTCCACACTTTACAAACCCTACGCACAATAATCTCTTCACTCTGTCCTCAGTAGTCTACACGTATTCACAGTACAGGAGCTATATAAGTGTCACTGTGTTACACACTCCCAATTACTTCTCAGTTCACAAACTATCACTGATTATCACACGCATCCGGTTCTTCTTTCTGTGACTGCTGCTATATTCCAACTGTGTTGCTCCAGCTCACACACACTAACTCGTGCACTGCTGACTGACTGACTCTCGTAGGCAGTGTAGTTCTCTTATAAACCCTCAGCCGGAGAACGGGAAACGTCTCACTTCCTTGTTGCCTAGTCGCCGTGTTTGCCAATAGCCTAGCAACGCTGTTGGGAGTTGTTTACGGCTACGTAGCAACTGCAGTGTCTCGTGTTACGTAATGAGTACCGCTGTTGTTACTCGCTTTGCCTAGCAACTGCTGTTTACTTGCTTTGCTTAGCAACCGGTGTTTACACGCTTTGCATAGCGACCAGCATGCTTGGACTCAGCTCACTTCGGCTCCGCTCAGCACGTCACGGCTGGCGGGGAGGGAGTGGCGTCATCCATAGCACAACATGTCACAATATTAACAGAAATATATCACGTTCTTTGGAGGGTTTAAAGTATGTAAAACTGGAAATTACAGAACAGGTAAAGTACATAAATGGGTTTAAGAAATGCACTTTTCACATATGGACAGCGCCACTATTAATTCACGTAACATTCTTTATTTTCCATGTGAGAGAGATCCTACCCACCAACCAGTATCTCACTCTCCAAACAGGTAGCAATAAGGCCAGAAGTGAAGGGACGAACCTGGGTAACTCAGAATCTAACTTTAACATAGATCAGGAATAAGCAACTTGTGGCCTTACATTTGCATGAAATTGCATGATGCATGTGTGGGCTGACAAATTCCTGTATGACTTCAGCTCAGGAGGAATTTCCAAACAACTTGACCAAGCCGTAAGGGACTTTTGCTGTAATTACAGACTATCTTTGCCTCTGTGAAAAACAAAGGCAAGCATATCTGAAATACAGTCAACTTACAATCCAGACAAGGTGCTCTCTCCATGTACATAGCTCCTAGAAAAGGTTTCAGTGAACGTGGTCCCACACTTGTAGTATCATCACTATGAAGCCAGCAGACAGAAACACCAGTCCCACTAGCTGTGTCTGGCACATATGTCAGGCTTCGACAGATGAAGTTTGTTTCATTCACACACTTGTCATGGCACTGTAATTTGATGGAATCACTCTTAAGTCAGATGTATGCTTACATTAATTATTCACTTTTAAAACTCGGTAAGAATTGCTTCTTTGAGAGAAAATAAAACAGCCATAACACATGTATTTAACAAGTCTACAACGAGACATATATAAAATAAACAAGTGATTTCCTTTCTCCTCAGCTTAACAGGCCATTATCTCACTAGACACACATTTATGTTAGCAATGTGTTGACAATTTTCACATGGAATGTGAATTTAATAGCAAATTCCATTAGGATAAAGAACTGTGAGAAGTTTCATGGTTTCATGACAAAATATGCGAATTCCAAACAAAGAAAGCTTAGGCCAGATATGTGTTTCAGATCCTATTACATCCTTTAGTAATGAACTTTCCATGCAGAAAATCACAGGTTGAAAAACAGCCAGATCCAGTATGCATTTTCCAATAGACTTCCCCTTCCTTTGTAGTAGACCCAAAACCCTGCATACATGTGAAATAACAAGCTTGCACTCAGCTCTAGATCCCACATGAAACTTCAGGTCCTCTATTCCAATCATCATCATCATCATCATCATCACTTTAACTATCATCTTATCATTAACAATCCATCAATCACTCACTAAGAATCCTGCAAATCACATGCTCAAATACAGAAACAAGAAGATCTGGGAAGAAATAATCGCCTACTTTCATTTGATACGACACAGAAAACAGGAAACAAAAACAACTGGGCTGGGGGGAGCACACAGACAACAAGGCGATCTTATAAGCTTCAAAAATGAATGGGGGGCAAACATAAAAAAAAACAGACAGCAAAGGTTATCTCATAATATGTACAAGATGTTCTGGGAAAAACTAATAGCCCATTTTCCTCTGTTACTGGATAGAAGACCAAAACGACAGCAAGGTTGTCTCATTTATTTTTTCCAAAAACAAAATTTTGCTAACAATGTGGGTTCCTACTTCTGTCTTAGTCAGGCAGGCAAACACCTGGTCAAAGACTATATCTGGAGGGAAGAGCCACAGAGAGGAAACAGAGAGACAATCCAAGCTCTATATTTCAGAGGCATTCCAGTGACTCATACATATATTGTAGAATTAAAGAAGAAAAATTAGCTACATATGGCAACCTCAACTGAACATTTCAGGTATATTTTATGCACCTCAACACATACAGCTTGCTACAGAACACAGTAGTAATGGATACAGCTTCACCCAATTTTGATAATCTGACATCTACTCACCATATCTTGATTCAAATTTGTAAACTCCAAGTCTCTGTAACTGATTGTTCTGTTTGGATGCTCTTCAAAAGAACATGTCTGACTAGAAGGAGCTTAAAATAAAAAAACAAAATTAACATTAACAAATCAATTTAATAGACATTATAGTATTCTAACATTGATAATGACCATGTATACGCACATATATATATACACACATAAAATAATTACAGACTTTTATAAAGAGTGGTAAGATAATATGATTGCAAGTTCTCATCATCTGAAAATATATTCAATGTGCAAAAGTAATCCCACTTTTTTAACATGATTAAATATGATCTAAGGGTCTGTGATGATGGTATATTAATACAGTTACTGTGTCTCTAGACATTATCTGTCATCCTGTTTTTATCTAAAACACCCTCCTCTTTTATTTAAAACACATGGATTATGTCTCCATCTTCAGGTGGAACCTACTCAGCTGGGCACAATCAATAGAGCTAGTCCCTATTTCAAGTATTTTACATAAAAATAAGATGATGATGATGGATAATGTCCGGAAACACAAAAGTTGTATGATTAAATACATTTAAAACAAATCTGAAATATGGATTTGAAATTTCTAGTAAAACATTTCACTTCAGAGACAAGGACATGCTAATCATATCCATTCCTTGTCTCTCTGTGACAATCATTCTTTAACTAACAGGACTAAAAAATTAACTGAAAACTTAGAAGTACAGATGTTCATGCTATATCACCTTTCAAAGTAAAATCCATACATTAGCTGGAATATATCATTTCTGTGGTGAAGTAATGGAAAAATGAACAAAGTAGCTAACAGTTCTTCAGCACACTGACAACCCCATCACTAGACACTATCTTGAACCAGTTAAATGCAATATATTTCATCACAACTTATTCCTGCAAAATGAATTATAATAATAGTAATCATCCCTCCATCGGTACACTAGTCTTCAAAGTGGCCTTACAGTGGTTGCAAAAACATCAACTTATGTTGAGTTTCTCTACCTGACATCTTTGTAGCTTAATGTTAGTGTTACAATGACCAAAAATTTAAATAATCTAGTATTTAATCTAAATGTCTTCTGTATTTGATGTTTAAAATTTAATGCAAAAAGAGAAAAAATAAGTAACGAAATCAATACATTATATGAGGGTAATTATTCCTGCTAATGACAGACAAACTGTTCGGCTAGTTCCGGCAACACTCTGTACTATACTTCTGGCATGAACATGTTCTTCTTGCTTAAAAATCAGAGGTTGGTCACAGGGCATCCACCATTTTCTGCCTCCCTTTCAGCCAATAAGGGCTTATGATGTGTACTTCAGTTAAGTGATAATCTGTCTCTTTGTTAAATATAAAATGGAAATTTAGCAGTTGCTAGATAACCAAAGCCAGTGTACAGAGATCACTTACAAAGATCAATGCACTGATTCTCCAAGTATTCCACGCCCCAAGGTGTTGCTCTGTATGAGTCACTTCTGGTTCTTCTGTCCTGATTACTGAGAACACACCTTTTTGCAGCATACATGAACTCGGCTGAACGACATACAAAACGTGCCTCTCGCAGACACTGCATCATGCACTGTTCCCTGGTGTCAGTTATGTATGTCACAATGTCAAATCCAACCACTTCATAGTTTGAAGCTCTCTCAAAAATCCACCCCCTTGAATTGCATTTTGAAGGCACTGTCAATGAAAATAAAACATATTACTAAGGCTTTCCTTTAGGCTGTCCCATAGCTCAAGCGGTTAGTCGCTGGCTTCCCACCGTGGCAGCCCAGGTTTGATCCTGGGTCTGGTCAAGTGGGATTTCTGGTGGACAAAGTGGCACTAGGGCAGGTTATCTCCAAGTACTTCGGTTTCCCCTGCCAATCTTCATTCCACCAATTGCTCCACAATCACCCTCACCTATCATCTGGGGCTGGTACAATAGGCCAGAAGTGGCCGCAGTACAAGGGACTTAGTTCCACCCCACGAGCGCAAAAAAAAACAACTTTCCCTGTCATTAAGCACTACACTAGAAAGAAACATGGGTGGAATGAAAGTTAAAATCCATGCACTCTTAATCTGAACTCTACAGAGAGATGAGAAGCTTCTTCCTGTCTAACTGCTTTACAACATAAAGGAAACAGCTAACAGTATCCAACAGATAATTTGGGTAGGCTGGACAGCAAGGCTGTAAATTGTACTGAAGAGAAAAATCCCTAATCCTATTGGAAATAAACTCTGATGGTCCAGACACTTTACTGACTGGGCTAAAAATGTAATAGAGTATGTATAGAACATATTTCACAATAGTATGAAAATATTATGCAGTTAAACATTATGGAATTTATGCTTCTATTAATACCAAAATATAAGTTAATTTAGCACTAACAAGCAATAAATCATATTTCAGAATGAGTTAAAATGAAACGTTGCAAGGAAAATATCTGTCACACTGATGGACAACTTTCGCTGTTTGTTTACAAAACTAACATAAAGTAATGGTAAGTTCAGTTATTGTAACAGCATCTGCTGGTAAGCAACAAACCACATATCCAACACGCCTCAACCTAACGACTTTGTGAAGGGCCCAGCAGGAAGTATTACAAACACTGAATTTATTTAGCCCTCTTTTTTCCCAATGTTGAGTGTGGTGGTTGTGCAGTCTGTACCAGTGTGTAACATGGTTGAAACCATCAGTCATAATGGAACAGTGGTCATGTGATCATCTCACATTTACTGTGGAAACAACTTTTTAAGAATAATGATTCTGCTACCAATATGCAACATGTATTTAGACATCATTATGTACTGTTTGATCATAACCAGGTGGCTTCTTGTTCACAACAGATGCCACTGTTCTGAACTGATGAACACAATTTAAAACAATACGATGCCTCAGAACTCATTTCAGATGTTAAAATGACACCTAAATAGGCGCGGCGTATGGTAGTAGAATGCATTATTTTATTTTACCAATGCTCCATGATAACTAATGCTTTCAATCAGATCTTTCATAAACTGCAGTCCCCCCACTTTTACTATTGGAAAGTGATGCTACATTCAAAATGCCTAAAACTTTCTTTCAGACCTTGTAATGTGTGGCACAATTCGAATGATTTTACTGCATCTAATTAGAAATAACTTATAGCAAACAGGTTATGTGCTGGACAACCAGGGTTCACTTCATAGCAGAGGCAAAATTTTTCTCTTCTCCATACTGTCCTGACCAGCTCTGAGGCCCACCCAGCCTCCTGTCCAATGGACACTAGAGATGATTTCCCCAGGGATAAAAAGGCTGGGACATGAAGCTGAATACCAACCTCAAATTAGTGCTAAGGTCAAGAATGGTGTAGCTGTTCTTACACTCCTGCACATGGCTTCATGGCAGAGTGTTTAATTAATAATCACAAGTATAACTTTACATTACTTAAAAATTATCTTTCTCCTACATGAGATTTCAGGTTATCACAGCAGTGAAAATTTAAACTGTGATCATCTATGCAATGTATAGTCGTGTAGGCAGTTATCAACATTTCAATAACCTGGTGCCTCTATTTTCAGCGTATGAGTGGATATCCTGAACACTGAAGCAGCATTTTCCTCTAAAAAACTGGTGACTACCTACAAGACTACACCATGTCATAACCTAGAAACTTACAACCTAAGTCCTTCAATGCAATTTTTTAATTACATTACTCAGAAAACACAGATCATGAAAGGAGGAGCTTCACTGGTATAATGACTAGGCTACAGGCTGGATGACCAGGATTCAATTCCTGGCTAGGGCAAAAGATTTTTCTGCTATATTCTACCGGTACTGGTGCTTACCATCAGTCCCGCCCAGCCAGCGAGACCGGCTCTACTAGCTGAGAGGTATCTATAATGCTTCCCCCATCTACCAGAGGTATTAGAGACTGCTGTTGGGCGGGAAACCGTCTGTTAATTTGGCTCAGTGACCTCCTTTGGAGATATGAGGTTATTTTACGTGCTGTAAAGCTATGACACGGGACCCACGGCCTAAAGTCCCTCCCGGAGGACTTGTTACCTGAATTTTCCCACCCTTAAAAATTCGACGACCTCCGCCAGGTATTTGAACCCGTGTACTATGAGTCATGAGGTGGGAATGTTACCTCTAGACTACAGAGGCCGCTCTTATATGCCTTAATTATATAATTAAATCCAGACATAACTCTACTTTTATAAGGTTCATGAACAATCAGTGAATGCAGTTACAATAGGCACAATTAGCAGAGAGCTATTCAGAAGAGACTGTACTGTAATATCATAAAGATACCTCTGGGCAAGCATATCCGTTCAAAGTAATTGGTTTCACCCATGGTTGGGCCGTAATGATACCCATAGACACTACTGGCAGTTGTTGTTGTTGTTGTTGTTCCATAGGAACTGGATACACGATAGCAGGTGTAAGATGCATAATCCACCAAAAACCCTGCACAGTCTGTAGAGTTCTTGCACCTGTCCCCAAAAAAAGTAAACATTAATTAGTCTGAATGAATCGCTCAAACTTGAGCATGCATACAACCAATTAAATTCAGGCAATCAGATTAGTTACTGATTTCACACAGTGCAATGTGAGAAGCAAAATTCAGCTGAACTTCATGTCTGACAAAATTATACTTTCTTCATATCATCAAGAACTGTCCATTCCCTCTTACATGGATCATACTTAATTTTAATTGAAGAATTCTATGTCCTGGGAAATAAAACCATGTAGCATGTTCAAAGTCAAAGGACTACATGGCTTTATATCCTAGAAGATATAACTCCTCATAATCACCAGTGTGAGAACCTCAAATCCCATATAATTTCAGTTTATTGATGTCTTAAATATCATACAATTTAGTTAAATTATTACTGCATAATGCTAATTTCACTACAATAATTAAACACCCAGCATCAAAATACTTTATACGCTTAAAAGGAAAGATAAATGTCTCAATCCCACATATAAAGGTCACTGTAATAATACTGCTATTCAGTCAACTAGTGATAATTATGATCACTGTTATGGACCCACTCCTTAAATCAACACATTTCTTTCTCATCTCTATGAATTAATTTTATTTATATATTTATTCTTAGTTCACTTAACAGCAGTTTCAATTGCTGTGATTAGTATCAAATGAGGGGATTCTTACTGAAGAATGATTTGGAAATGATGTGGAAGGTAGCTGTTGTGACCTAATTTAAGGTACTCTCCATGCATTCGCCTGGAGGGATTGAGGAAAACCACAAATTGCCAGTTAGAATATCTAATCTCTGGACCTAGATTTGAACCTAAAACCTACTGAATGGAAAGTGCTAATCACTTGACCACATCATTCGGTCTACTAATTACAGCACACAGAACTTGAAGACTGTTTTACCGTCTATAGCATTCCCTGGTTATAGCATGCCCTTGGCTTGCATATAATGGAAGTAAATACTCTCGACCTGGACTGTATCCAGACACTTTTACAAATGTATCTGTTCCATTGCAATGACTCTGTTGTGCTGAAAAACAGAAAATGTTGTTGTATCCAAAGTCAGACCCTTACAATTCCAGTAACAGAATGATCAATGCAGAAACAGATTTTATTTCAATTATATGTCACAAATGTCTGAATATTAGAACAGCACACTCACCTAATATACAGTGGAGTAAATGGCAAGTGAATAAAATTAATGTATAATAATGATGAAATGAGGCCTCATGTGATGTACTGAATAGATGCATTGTTGGTAACTGAAACAATAATATGTGTAAATACAATAAATAAGTACATATAACCAGATATTAGCATATTTTCAAAAGCTTGGAGAAAAAAAAAAATATTCTGACACTGTATTAATAAGATTAATTTACTTAAAAAACAAGCCTTATTACATATACTAAATAAACATGTATTTTAGTCTATAAGGGATCATCTTGAGTGTCCTAATGGCTGTAATAAGTGTCCTCATGGTTACTAGCAATTGTTTAATCATCACAAATAAAATAATATATTGCCCAGCTCAGGTTAAATTGGGTCTTTGAATTATGAAGTAAGACAACCTGTTATTATTACAGACTGTTAAAACAGAGGTAACAACCATTTACTGGGACACAGGAGTTTGTACAGGTATGTCAGTAAATAGGCAGAAGCATGTATTTTAAGGATGTTATGCAATTAGCATGAAAGCACGATGAGTCAATGGCCACTGTTCATTTCAAAATACCCAAGGTTAACTCAGCAAAAGTTATGCTGGTACTAATGTAGGTCTCACTCTACATCAGTTTTTCATGGTGGTTTTGCAAGTATGTATAATAATACCACCAGTCATTTTCTAATAAAACAATTTTTTCTCTAATTTTACTGTTAGTCTCTCTACTTGTCCCCAGAGTGCTGAGTTTCTGGCTAGAAATGTATCTATAATACAAATTATCACACAACTCAAGTCCAGTTCATATGCCAGATCACTATACTCCTTACAGAATTAAATATACTTTTAAACAAACCTTAATTATACACCATCAGGGGAGTACTCCAAAAACGAGAAGTCCAAGGGTGATCTGGCATGCAGTTTCTACAGAATGATACCTCATGAAAGGAGGTCTACTTAAACAGGCCGACACTTTCACTTCAAAGACTGAGGTTGGAAATTAAATAACTTACATTTAATTTATGTTTACATCCTTTTCTTTTTAATTTAAATACCAGAGCAAAGCTGGAGCACTCAAACAAGCACCAGGGCGCTGTCCCTGATCTCCCTAGCTCTACTACAACCCTGTACATTAAGGGTTATAATTTACTTCAGAACTACATGGATCTGTTATCAATTTATGTAAAACACAACTGTCATTTAGGCACAAATGTATTCCTTTATTTTATGCAATAGCTGCATTCCAAAAAAAGTAAAAAAGGGTGAAGTTGAATAAATCAAGCATAACTGCTTTCCTGCTTTCCCTCGAATCCCTCCTCCACAAATTCACACAATAATTCACTCCCTCTTCTTCCCATCATCCTCAATTGGTCAGAAAGCAAACCACATTAAAGAAAGCCTCATTAATTGAAACTGGTTTAAATTAGCTGATCACATTAAAATGATTCTGCATTTTTAAAACTCACATATAACATGAAGTATCTGTAATTTGCAAATATGCATGAGTGATTATTAGTTTTTCTTGTCAGTCAATCTGTATGCATCTTAAAATGATGTCTTTGATGAATATTAGAATTTTTTACCCTTCCTAGCAACAAGTAAAGAGTAAACAGCTCTGAGAGGATCCACCAAAATTATAAAAATGTCAGTCCAGAGGCAGACAGGGCTTAGGAAGAGCTTTAAGAATGTAGAACGATATATTCCTGTAACATACCAACTAAACCTAACATTAGAACAATGATGACTGTGATATTCTCATAATTTAATGTTAAGCAAAACTGGACAGGATTGTATTATCACATTATATGAATTCCTGAACACATTGTTTATGCATAGTATTATGATAAACGGAAATTCAAAGATCATTTCAGACAATTGGTCAAGAAATTNAAATTTAGTATATGTTAATGTATGGATTTATGATGGATATTTTACTACTTTTGTGAAATCCTTACTATTTATGTGAACTTGAATTGTGCATGTATATATGTATTGTATGATTTTTGACTAATTCCACATCCGGTAGGTCATCTGACTAACTCATGGATCTANTTAAGCAAAACTGGACAGGATTGTATTATCACATTATATGAATTCCTGAACACATTGTTTATGCATAGTATTATGATAAACGGAAATTCAAAGATCATTTCAGACAATTGGTCAAGAAATTACTTCTTTTGTGAACTAAGAAGCTCAGAAACAGGTTCACAAAAGCCCATGAGTCCCTATGCAGATCCAGCTGAATTCAGTCCGCACCATTTCTCTACCATCCAGTTCAGTATTACTGTCCTACCTATACTCTTTCTTCACTTTTGGTTCACCACTAACATTTTTATACACTTTTAATTCCCCACACATGCTATATTCTAATATACCTCATCCTTCTTGATTTAAGCACCCCAGACTAAATCGACAGGTGAATATTTTACATTCTATATGTATTTCTCTGGACAACTACAGAAGTCATATACTACAAAGTAAAATATGAATATCAATTAACAATGAGGCAGGAGAAATGGAAGGAGAAAGAAGCCTGGGGCATTTTAGGATACCCTGTGGTGTTCATCTGGAAAGAAAGAGGAAAACCACAAAAAATCTCATTTAAGATAGCCAAAAAAACATAATTTATATGTCCATCACACAAAGAAATTTTGGAACAAACTTCATATATTATAGTTTCATCTATAATGAGTATATATAACTCAAGCCTAACAAGTTTATAAACAAGATTTTTATTAAGTGAAATTTTTATCATCTTTAATTGTAGTATTTACTTTTTACGTTATGAATGTTATGCCTGTCTGGCCATCTACATATATGTTTCATCTCCAAGATTACTGAACAGATCATGATAACATTTTATACTGGAGTCTACAGTGAAAGTTGTCATGCAAATTCAATTTTGGTCTCTATTATATCAAGAAACTGTTAATCTTCTTCTATGACTTATTCTACATTATTAAAATATTTACATAAATAGTTAAAGAAACTATTTCTACATAAATAAATACAATTACATAACTGTTACCATCAAATTAATTTCGAAAATAATTAATGATATGAAACAAACTCAAAGACTGTGCAGGAATGATACCTGGAAAAGAGAATATATGACTACTAACCTCATTTTGACCACAATCAAATTAAATTGAGGTATGAGCTCTGGAGGGTCAAAACTTCCTTACACAACATGCAGGTGTGGGAACATTATTTAGTTATTTACTAATTCAAAATTCATTAATTACAAGAAAATAATATATAGTTTAAGTTTAAATTGAGATCAGATTTCAGCTTCCTTTTCTTGCGGTTTTGTTCATAATTTCTACTGGCAAATTGCTGTATTTCCCATGCATGACTTTTGACATTAACATTAGTCAGTGCTTTTAGAATCCACTGATTGAGATCAGTCTTTCTAATATGCCCAACTGAATAGGAAGTAGCTCCAGGGCTCATGTGTAATGGGTGTCCTTTCTCTGGAAATAAAGCTACTTAGGCATGAAGCTGTATATTGAACCCTGGCCATTAAGAATACACAGATTTATAGCTCCACTCCCTCACAAATCTTATTGGCATGGCGTTTAATTAATTACACACAAGGATAACTGTTACTTTACTTTATGACTTTATAACATCAAAAAAAAAAATAGTTACAAAATTTTATTTAAAATATAACATTAAATAACTGGTAGCCAGTTACAGTACTTAAGCAAGCAAGAAGTGAAAATGGCTGATAGTGCATATACTGCATGGATAAGGAAATATTTTATCATCTGTCAATATTTCACTAATACCACCCACATGAGTGTGAAGTGGCAACAAAATACTTCACAGCATAGAAACATGTCTAGGCTCCCATGCATGACTTCCTTCACTCTTCCTCTTTTTCCATGTAAGCAAATGAAGGTCAAGAGACCTTGAAACAGTTCACATGCTTCTAGAACTTGACAACTAGGCCAAATGAAATGGGAAGTGACATGCATGTACTAAGCGCTTCTCAGAAAAGGAGAAGTGTTATTATTCACATAGGCACTTCCTGAATCAGACATCTATTTCCAGCCATGTAACTTTACTTCTTTTTTCATTGTTTCCTATTTTCATAATTCCTTTCATTGATACAGATCTAGTTACTACGAATGTATTTACACACAAAACAATCTCCTTTATGCATTATGCATTCATGCATTTTGAAGTGTATTCTGTGAACAAAATTTATTAAATTAATAAAATGNGGTATCAACACATGATGAATCCAAAGCACATATTTGCCAAGTTTTGAAGTGTATTCTGTGAACAAAATTTATTAAATTAATAAAATGTGGTAAGAGAAAAATATGAGGTAACAGTGCTTATAAGTGCCTGCATTAAATATCTTCAGCGAAAACTACACAACACATCGTCATACTGAGGAAGCTGACTACAGCAGTATTGCTTCTGAATTGTGTCTGGTTCAAATCTTGGTCGGGACCTATCCCAGGGGTTTCATGGTTTCCCTGTCTTTACAGACAAATTCTGAGATAGTATCTTATGCACAGCACCCACTTCCTTCCACATTCTTTCCAATTCATTATTCATGATCATTTAATTATTTAACTATATACTCATAGTCTAGGATAATTACAGTATTGTTACAACAGCTACAAATAAAACAAATGAATCTCCATCCTTTCAATATCTCAATATTAAAGCCTACAGAAAACAAAAGAAAGCCATAACAGTTAATTACTTTAATGTCTGTGGATAAAAATAATTTGGGGCATTTGTTCATTGACCAAAACGTCCCAGAAGCACTCTTAACAATAACCAACTTTAACTATGCACTAAAAAGATTATAGTTACTCTGGTAGTCAAAACACTGACATAAATGATAGGTTTCTTTTTTGTAAACAAAGCTAAAAAGCTCACTGTGTTTCCATACATGTTTGTCTCTGCAGGTATCTGTTGTAGAAAATCTTCAAGACCAGTTGACCTTATCCCTCCTTTACAACAACTAAAATCCATTTACCTACTACAAATACATACACTTAAGCTATCTATCTCCAATGAATATGTTATAAAATTGACTAAGGACACTCATTCACTATGTACAAGGTAAAAAAAGAT